GTATCGGGGCGGTGTGGCGCAGTGGACAGCTGCCGCATGACACTCGAGGTTAAGATGTGACCGTTGCTGCTTGAACTCGGATGGGTGACCACCCGGATTTTTAGCGGCGACCCACACCATCAACCCCCGATATGCATGGCAGAAATGCCATGCACCCTTCGGCGACCGAACTGGCATAAAGTTAGCTATAGCCCTCCCGGTCAAATACACCATTCGAATATATTTTTTTTTATTGTATTAATTTTATTTTCTCAGAGCTTTTATTATAATTATTTTGTTTAGGTCGCTTCTATTATACATGGGTCTGAACTTCAATTTCCTTCATCTCATTTGAAAGTAATAACTAGTGACGCAGAAAACAAATTTATAAATGGACAGTCGTCTTGTAAATTAAATCGGTATGCGGTGGTAGTAAGCGTTATATGTATTATATGTGGCTAACGCCATTAATTATAAATATTTTATAATATTTATAATCGATGCTAACAGTAACTCGGTATAAAATATACAACAGGTTGAAAATCATTATATTTCCTTAGTTAAGATCGAACATAAAATAGATAAGAAACAACTACTTTACTGGGCACCTTTTTTTCGATTTTGTATTAATCAATAATACTTTTAATGCTGATTACAATTCTGCAAAAAAAAAACTCGCTACTCACACTTAGTTTGAAAGTTCCAGACATTTAAGAACACACGCAATGCAACGTGCCCCGATATTGCCCCCGAAATCTCAAAATATTGTTCCTTTTTTTATATATTTTAGATATTACAGTACTATTCTGTAAATCTCATAAGCTAAGAATTTTAATTTTGAAAGTTATTGGTCAATTTAAATATAAATATCATCAGTATCAAGAAGGTGTCATAAAAACGACCACAAAGGGCGGGGGAATGCGGGACGTCGGCGTCACCGTCACACTGTCACAACTTCTAAACTAACCATACGAATAAATACACTTGCCTAAACTAAGTGGGAGCGGTGCAACATTTTTGCACATTCATAATCGCTAAATAACATTCAAATTTAAAAGTATTATCTATTTAAAAAAAAAAAGTACCCGGTAAAGTAGGGTTATTTAATAACTGGCTAATTATTGACCATATATTATAATGCCATTTACTGTGCTGAATTCGTATTGTTATGACAAATGTATACTGCGCTTACATAATGTTATTTAAACTATTATTATAAGTGTGGGTAGGGGCGTCTGTGGACCCACTCTGTACTCCTCATCAAATATTATGATTAATATTAGTTTTAAATACCAATAAAACATTTTTCAGGGGTAGGATGAGTTCTAGTGGATATAAGGGTGAAGTAGTACTGTGCGTCACAGTGAACAGACATCGATAGGCATTTCTAGGCTGTTTTTATGGGGAACGGAACAACAAAATATCAAAAACCTTGTTCTCGTTATTGGGTAAAGAGAAGGGAAGTGTGAAGAATTTTAGTTTTTTGTTTCTATATTATTTCATAAAAGTAATTAGTTTCATCAGTCCGTCCATTATTTGCTACTGTCAAAGTTCATATATAAACATAAAACTAAAAAAATATATTGACGCAAATTAGACGTTTAAAGTAAATTGTTAAACTAGTCGATTTTTAATTATTAAGACATTATTTCAACAAGTTTAGAAATTCAAAATATTTGTTTTTAGAACATCACGTTGAGGGATTCTATTTTTACTCTCGTCCGTAATTAATATGTCAAATGACGGGGCTTAGAAAAATAGGAACATTTAGTGTTAACTGTCGGTAGGAAGGTAAAAAAAGGTATTTCAAAAAAAAATTTGAGCATGGTCGAAAAAAATTTAGCTGATTATGGGCAATTAGTCAAATTATAAATAAATTTAATTATTAAATTAGATAATATGTAAAACCTTTCGCTACCGAGTAACTTTATGTAGTAGAGTGTTGCTCTTTGTATGTGAAGCAAGATTTATACTCATACAGTTATTGACTCATCCAGTCCATATGATATATTTTTTACATTTTCTCAAATGTTTGCAAAATTATTTATTATAATGATTTTTTTGTATTATAAATACTATGACGTATTTTGAATAACTAATAAAATATGTTAAATACTTAGATTCGGTGTTACAAAAAAGGTTTTAAAGGAGTTGTAAATAGAATCTATTTAATAGATATGTGTTTTGTAAGATTATCAAATATAAACTATACTGTTGCTTGAGTTCTGCGTGAGGTTGGAACTATTATATAGGGTGACTTTTTTTTAAAGTGATCCACTCAGTATCTGATAGGGTTTAATCAGTTATTGAATTTTTTTTCCGTAGTGTTTTTTATTCAATGTTATCTCAAATTTCACACATTAATATTTTTAACCCACTCCCAAATTAGTTATTTTTATATCGACTTTTGAAACTTAAACGATAACTTACATATTTTATTGACTTTTTAAATTAAGAATAATTTTACTGAACATTTTGAATGGTCGATAACCAGTTTTGGATAATTGGAAGTGCTGCGGGGAAAAATGATTATAGTCAATATACCCAAAGTTTTCAGTATTACAGCTTTAAAATTTTAGAACTCAAAAAGACTCTGAGATTTATACTCTATTCAGAATAAGAAGCGGTCCGCGCGACCGATCGATTTTCGTGGGCGGGTGAGAGGTTTCTCCCACCAAGTCGAGGCGCGCGATGCAATGCTTCGGAACAAAGCCACGCCCATGCGCAACCCTGACCGCTCTTATTCTCAATAGAGTATAGTATAAGATAATGCACGTAAAATAATATTGTTTTATAACTATCTTTATTGATAAGATTAATTACAAAATAATCAAATTTATTAATCTAAATTTTAGAGAAAAAAAATTGGCGAGTGATTATGATCGTTTTTCCCCGCAGCCCTAATTATTCTTAAAGTTTTGGAAAGTAGGTGAGTGGTACTGTTTTTACTGGTTATCGACTAGTCAACATTTTCATTAAATTATTCTTGGTTTAAAAGTATATATGTTGCCGTTTAAGTTTCAAACGTTGAAATAAAAATAACTAATTTGGAAAGTGGTTAAAAACTTAAGTGTGAACAATAATTGAGATTACATAGTGAAAAAAAATTCAACAACTGTTTAAACTCTTAAGATATTGAGCGGCCCACTTTAAAAAAAAATCACTTTATATATATATATATGTATATATATTAATTATATATATAATTATGTGTGTATCAGTAATCGACTGTGGATAAGATAATAAAATATAATGGTTATTCTAGCAACAATTAGGCTATTGAGGTGAATCTTTGTTGTAACGAGGGATAAAGAAATGAGAAGTGAGCATTAGTGCAACTAGTTTCAAATATCGAGGGGGGGGAGGGCTGGAGCCTGAGTTTTATGGTGATAAATTTAGTTAAAAATAAGCCGTGGGTACCTTGCTTCTCTCGCATCCTTTAATTATATATGAGTTTTGACACGTTTAATTATGCTACACAGTGTAATTACTTACAGTAATAGGAATCTATGGGTTATTTATGATATGAATAGGTATTAATAAAAATGTTACTAAATTCAAATAAATAATACCCTAAGAGGAATTAAACAAATTTAGTTACTAATTACGTCTAATTTGTATATCAAATAATTTAACTATGCAATTTTTTGAACTCGAATAAATCCGACTGAAAAAAAAAATGGATATTGAACCAATTTCAAAATATTTATAAGCACATAAAACAAATTGAGATTTTTGTAAAAAAAATATACTTCAAAACTCGGTGGGTTGCAAATTATGTGGTAAATAAGAATACAAATTACCATTGGCCAAACTATTTTTTAACGCGAAAATCTAAAAAACCGCGTTGACCTCTGGTTTTTAAAAATTAAATTTATACAAGTCGTATTAAGTGTTTGAATACTACATTTTTGAACGTTTATTTTTACGAATAATTTGGAGGCTAGTGCAGACTGTAGAAAGTATTTCTCTTAAAAAAATATGTACCAATTACAATTTCATCACTACATTCCTTTTTCCGTTAAGTAATTTTTGTAAACTGTTACAAAATGAATACACTGAAAAATATGTATGTATTCTATATATATTATAATTCAAAAATCCCTCTTTACAGTTGGCTCTATTAAAATGCATAGTTTTTTAACCATAATTTAACTGTTCTTATAGGGATTCGTCTACTTATGTAAGTCATCTGCTGCTATTCACAAATCCTCAAGGAGCATACTGTAATCCGATTTTTAACGCAGTACACTTTATTCAGAGTTATCTCGACAGTTATATTAAACTGAATTAAAGATGATGGGTCCTTTTGTTTCAGTCTAGTTATATAAAGTGGTCATTGTGGGGTGGCAGTGTGTTGCGCTCACCGTCGCCAATTCGACACTAGGCAATGGGTGGTGTCCTCATTGGCGATCAACTATGTCTTAAAATATACTCAATAAAAAGCCATACGCAATAATAAAAGTGACTATTGATATCATAATTTGTACTGGCCTTTACAAAATACGACATTGTATTTGACATTCAAGTGCTTATACAACATGGTTCAGTACCTAACCATAAAGCATATACATAATTTAATAAGTTATATTTAACTTTAAAAAAATTGTTTATCGGCTATTGCCTTTGAAGACGAAAAGCATAAATGAAAATAAGTGACTAATAATGCTAAGTGCTATGTTAAGCTCATTAACCTAATATCTTCCTTCTGTTAAATATACGTTGTTGCATTTATTGAAAAAAAAAAATTACATGAACATTGTACACGCTAAATATATATAAAATAAAATATTATTTCATGTTGTTGTTTTTTTATCCAAATATCCTTATCTTTGATATACTTTTTGTTGCGTATTTTCAACGATTGATTGGTTAATAAATTTATACCATGTATGTAAACATCTCCACATATCTCCTCCAACAACACGAATCAACCAAAATAATAGAATCGTTTATTTATTACTTAAATTGACATTTAAATTCTGCAACAGTGTTTTAATTGTATACTTTATAATTTTCAGCAAAAATTAAAGAAAGTGGATTATTTATGGACGCTATGTTAAATGTTCTGAACTCCGCTCCCAAAAACTGCAAAAAACGCAAAACTAAACCTGAAGCTCTTAAAAAACCTGAAAAACAGGTGGAAATTCCCACGTCACCGACCCTTAAGTCTGATAACTTCCCATCATCGCCTTCGCAGTCTCCATTGCGATCTCCTTCTACTTTGGATTTGGATTCATTAGTTCAGTCGTCAGAAACTTTGTCTAGCTCTGATGAACCCCAACCCCCATTAGAGTCTCCTTTGCCCTCGGCATATATTCCCCCATCGTCGACTGAAACCACCAATATGACGTCCGTAAATGAACAACCCAACCCTATTGAAGTAGTCGACACAGAAAAAGCGGTAGAAAAACCACCCCAACTGAAGTTTTATCGAGACACTTTATTGGATACCGAAACTTCTACTAGCGAAAACAAAACTGACGAAATTCAATGTAAATAGCATTTACAATTTTGAATTTTTCAAAAATCAAGTGCTGATATTTTTATTTTTTTTAGCTGCGAACATGATAGATGATGAAATCTGTGAACCCGAAGATAAAAGTGGATTAAAAAGTGTTCTGGTTTACGTTAGAAGTAAATCATCTAAAAAATCAGTGTCGTGGAAGCAAGAAAACGATTTAGTTCAAGTTTCATACTTTGAACACGATGAAAATGAAAGAGGTACGCCATAAAAATATGCCATAATAATTTTTCAACAATTAATTTAATTATGTACTTTAGTTAACGTAACTAGAAATTTCAAAGACATGGAAATGCACGAACGTGACGTTGAAAGACAAAATTTTCTTGCAGTGCGCAAATTAAGTATGTGTAGAATAAAACTCGTAGTTGCCCATTTAACATTGTAATCAATTGTGTATGCTTGCAGACGCTGCAGATATAATGGAACCTAAAACTGCTTGGCAATATTTAGATGACACATTATTAGTTGATGTGATAGAAGAACCAGGTAAAGAAAAGATCGAACCTGGCTATGGAAGTCAAGAGAAGAAGAAACAAACACTTAGAGAACAATCTGTTTTGCCTGCCATTTACAACAATAGATTGATGTAAGCATACCCTGTTATACATATATTTTTTTAAATTTAAATAATATAATTTTTTTTTGTAATACAGGATCCCAGATTCACCATCTGAACCTGATCATATGGAAATAACTCCTTATTCGGAACCCCTAAACATACCGCTTGAAGACATAACTGGAGACGGTACTGCGCCAACCTATAACTATGTCAGTACTCCTTGGCCAGAATCAAAAGGTGAACAACCACCAGTTGTAGATTTCCAAATAGACATAAATAATATGATGCCTATGGCGCCTAATGTTATGATGCAACCACCTCAGTTCCCAGTATTCAACAATCCGATGAATTGGAACATGCCGCCGGTAAACATAGGCATGCCTATGAGGCCCCCAGTTAACAATATGTTCATGCCCAATCCCATGATGATGAATAATCAAACTATGTATAATATGGGTGATCAAATGCCTCAACAACCAATTCCACAACAACCTCCTTCACAACAACATCCTCAAAATCATCCATCTCAAATTCAAGAAGAACAGTGGATGGGTCCCGAGCCGACAGGGCCAATGCAACACGACCAGCATTGGGGCCAACAGCAACCTCCCAATAACAACAATGGTCCTGCTCATTTTGAAAGAGGAGGTGGTAGAGGTCATAGTCGATGGGATAATCCGAGAGGTGGTAATAATTACAATGACTCGTATCGAGGTAAACATAACATGAACCGCAATATGCAACGGGGTAACCGAGGAGGTCCATACAACCGAAGAGGTCATATGGGTAATGGACGACCCGGCGGTCGACTGTGCAAATATTATGCTAAACAGGGTTTTTGCAAAACTTCAAACTGTGCGTTCTTGCATTCAAAAAACTAAAAATGTAGCAATCGCGTTCATTTTTTTTATTATTTTAATTGTTTTTTATTTGCTACCAAATAAGACTGAATAAAATAAGACCTGTAGTAATAAATCTTTTTAGACATCTTCACTCTTGATTTTAATCGACCGACTATGTATGTGAAATTATTAATTTAACAATTGTATAGTAAATATCATTAAAGTCCATTAACTATTGTTAAATAATCACTTATTTTATTTAAAATTGTAAATACTTAATTTAATCATTTAATGGCATCATTTTTGTATTATAAAATAGTTTTAAAATAATCATGATCGTAACATTTAGATGAATGTTAAAATTAATCCCTTATGTTTTATGATTTTATTTATAAATAACTGGAAATGTTATTGTTTATTAAGTTTGTATATTATTATAAAACAAATTGGAAGATACTCTATAGCAATAAGTAATAATCAATAGAGGTACATTTATTATTATTTATTCCTATGTTCCTATACTCCGTGATTTTCAATCAAACATGAAACAGTAACAATAGTTAACGTTAAAACAAATACATACATATGTTTTTTAGAGTGAAAAATATATTGGGAGGATTAATTACAACAAATATTAAAACAAAAACACATTACATGCACATAAACTATAGTCAATGTTCAGTAGTGAAATATACAAGGCTGGATCAATGGGGGGGGGGAGGTTGAAGGGGCTGTAGCCCTTCAACATTGGGCATGTATGGATTCTTTTTTTATTTGTATAAACATAACATATCTTTGTTGAAGTTGAAATCTTGTCATTCAATGGTAACTTATATTGGGATTGACTTGTTCATAATATAATAATAGATTGTTTTTAAAAGATATGCACCTCGGACAGCAGACCTTTATCGACATACATTTATACCAATAATAACATAGCTATTTGTTGTAGGTGGGTAGTATGGCCAACCCATTGTTTTTTTTACTAGATTGAACATTATTGATGATAATTGAGGCGTCAATACTCTGTTCATAGTAAGAAGCGATTATAGTTTCAAAACCAACCTAGATTTTCTCAACACGGTTTAAATTAGTTATAATGTTTATTTGATAATGTTATTATAATTCAATAATAGTTTTAACTTTTACATACCACGTAATACAGTGTGCCGTGTGGCCACTTAAAAAAAAAAAAAGGTTTTCTAAATGTCTTTTGGCTGGTTTTGAAACTAGATACCTTAATTTATTAATAATTTTACTCTCGTCACCTGGAACAAAGCACATATGACGAATTGAAACAATTCATAGCAATGGTTTTACTCGGGGAAAATAAAAAATATTATATCTAATAGTTTGAAAATTGAAGGTAAGAATTATGATTAGTCGGGTATACATAGTTTTAGCACCCCCCAAATGTAGGTCTAGTTGCGCCTATGTAAATATGCAGTGTCAAAAACAAAAACAAATAGTGCCTACAGCTGTTATTGTTTATTAAAAATCTTTAGGAGCAACTGGCTCAAAATTATATAGACACTGCGAGGACACTCGGCTCAGTGCAGTGAACATAAGCGCAAGCTATTAGTTCCATAAGAAAGTATTGAAAAAATGTAAAATTCACTTTTTTGTAGTATTTAAAATTGATTATAGTATGATGTTTTGTGTACAAAACTTGAATAAAATTATTCGTTTTACAACAATAGAGTTTTTTAGAATACATTTCATGTTGTTTAAATAAATGTATCCTACTAAAAGTAAGTGCATAACCACAAAGGGGAGCAGCTGCGATGCACAGTGTTTATAGGCACTCAAACAATTTAAAAACAAGAATGTATTTTTTTTTATCAGTACTTCAACAAGTAGACCTCGAGTAAATAAATTTTTTAGTGAACATGGTCCATACATAATTATACATGAAAGTACTATAAAAATATATTTAATACCTAAATACAAATAATAAGTATGTAACAGTATGTAATAATATAACCATTAAAATTATATGTAGTGGTGTATTGTTTAGTATTAATAATTGTCAAACAGGTATTAGGTATTCAATACTAGAAATATTCAATTAAAAATTTAAGTACTATTAAGATTATATTCTATAAACTGAGAAATAGTATATACAAATGATAAAAATATAAATTACTTTACTCATTGGGATTTTCAGTTGGCTGGATACCCAATTCTGATATTAGTGGTAATACATCACATTCTCTAGGAATTGAATTCTCCCAAGTGCTCTAAAAATAACAAATAAATAGATATATAATTCTATATAAATACAGTACATTTTTAACAATGATGCTAAGCATCGCTAAATTCGGCATTTAATATAGAATTTTTTTTTATTAGATACAAACATAAAATTTTAAGTACTTACATTCAACTCTTTGTTTGTAGTCTGGACTACAGAATCTCTACATTGATCCTTGATCTCTACTAAAAAATTTTCACTGCTATACGATGACAGCTGGCTTTCTAATAAATAATAATGAAACATTAATTAATGCGACTGTAATTTTGACCGAAGTAGGTTTACATACCGCATTGGTTATTTTCTTCGATAGGAGGGATAACTGTAACTTCACTTTGATCAAGAGCAGTCATAGCAGCAACAGGGTGAGATACTGGTGATAGATTACGCTTTAGTAGTTGATTACTTGCAGCTGGACTCTAAATTTAAGTTTTTTTAACAAAATGAATACAACTACAAAATTTAATTGATATGTTTGTTAGCTGAGAAGGTATTGTTTTATAATGATATGTTTTTAATTTGTGTCTAGAGCCATAATGTCTTCTAAATTGCAGAACCAATTTTTCCGCGTAGCAACTCTATAGATTAGAAATTGATGAACGTTGACAAACCGAACAAATATTATAAACCCTTTTTCCCTAGAAAGGGTGGACAATTTTTATTTATTTTGCTTTGATATGTGAAGTTCTAGGGTTTAAAGTCTGAAAATTAGATTCAAGATAATTCTAAAATGGGGCTATAACATATACAGTTTTCTCAAAAATTTGTAGTCAAACCCTTTTTTTTTTATTAAGGAAAAACCAAAAAGAAAGAGGAAAATTACACTTTGACCACAGTCAATTTTTAGGTTGCTATGTGTGAGAGAATTAACAGTGAACAGGTATCCGAAAAATATTTTCATTGTGTTGTTATTTATGATAAATGGTTAACAACAGCAACAAATTGTTATAGAAAGACAATCAACCCTAATCGTATCCACCCTAACTACAACTTTAAGCACATTATTAAAAATGATTTTTATTACTTTCAGTTTGAAACATTTCTATACACCTGTGACCTATATTGTACCACTACCCTTTTCCTATCCTTTCCGTTCACCCTATTTCTCGACCCCACTGTACTAGATTTTTTAAATACTAGTAATTCATTTATTTCAGTGGTTATTGAAAAATAATTTAGTTAATACAACAAACCAGGCAACAGGTATACAGAATTATGTACCATAATAAACTAGCTTGGTGACAATGTTCTCACGCAGTAAGCATTAATGTAAGCAAAATAAGTAAAAATCAGTAAGCAACATTAAAAATGAGTTAAAACTTAAATGGATTGAACTATTAGTTTAATCATTTTTAGATATATCTATGTTGTCCTTACTTAGCTTACGTTTTGGACCCATTGCAGGGTCCATCTTCTAAGCAATAGTCACTGTTCCACTGTATAGTCATTGCAGTGTAACTGTGACTTTCGCTATGAAGATGGACCCTGCAATGGGTCAAAAACATTAGCTAACTAATGACAACATGGATAGATCCGAAAATGATCAAACTAAAAGTATTAATGTAATTTATTAGACATAAAAAAAAAATAATATTGATCAATAAACAGTATATAAAAAAAAAAGTCTAATAAGTGTTATAATGTTTTTTTCCCTTTAGATTTTGTTTGAACAATTATTATTGTAATTTCTAAAAATAATTACAATTTTGTATGAATTATTATAATTTTTTATTCTTAATGTACTTAAGTTAAAATCCTTTACCTCGTTAGTGATATAAACAGCATGCACTTAATAAATATTATGAAATTACAAATAGCCACGGCTGAGGATGATATGATCCTGATGGGACAGATAGTTTTCGCATTTGTACTTCAAGTTGGTTTGTTGGTACAAAACTGTGTCTAACAGTAGCTAAAAAATAAAGTATATAAATATTACATAAATATATTTAAATTGATTAATTATTACAGTTATATTATATTATTACATTGGTGTTTGTCTTGCAATATTATGGTGTCCAGCTGTTTTAACACTTGTTCCATTTCTGGGCGATCTTTTGGTTTAAAGTTAACGCACTTTTTCCCGAGGGATATTAAACAAGGAAACACATTACATTCATCTAGTCCAGCTTTAGCGTCTATCATTTCAGAAATAGAGTTATCATTATTTTCGACATGATCTTTCTGAAATTATTGAAGTATAGAAAAACAAAAGTTAGAATATTATAGGGATACAATAAATTAATAGGGAATGAATAAAAATAAAGAAAAAAATTATGAAATATTTTGTTTCTTCACTATGTATAGGATGTTCCAGAAAGCAGCCACATTTTGAAAATTCTATAACTTTTTTTTATATTCGTCAAAAAAACCAATAGCACATACCATTGTGTTCAGGAGGTCCTGAGGTTTATGTGTGGAACATAACATCGGGCATACTACCGCCTGTCCTCGCCCTACAAGCCATCAATTCAACGCCCATGAAATTTCGAATGACATGTTTGCAGATTTCGACATCTAGATCACCCATCACTCGCCTGATTTCTGTGGCCACCATGGTGTTGTGTCCTTACCCCTGCAAATTTTTCTTGACTTTACGTACTCCCATAAGAAAAAGTCGCAGGGGTATTGCACACAATGGTATGTGTTATTTGTTTTTTTGACGAATATTAAAAAAGTTATAGAATTTTCAAAATGTGGCTGCTTTCTGGAACACCCTATATAACCATAAGTGTTGTTAAAGTTTTTTCTATATAATAAAAATGTACAGTGCAGTTTATTTCATAAAAGCCACTTTTTTCCAAAAAAATAATTTAAGTTTTGTACTTTTACTTTTTGTTGACTTTTTAAGACCAAATTATTTTACATAATGTTCGATAGTTCAACATTAATATATTTTTTAGGTAATATACATATATTTGTTTTTTCTTTAACCTTTTAAAGAAAAATATGTGTCCTTACACACATTTTATTAACATTTTAAATAAAAAATGATCTACTGATAATATTGACTGGATGAATAACTAGTTTTGAATAAATACTTTTAGATTTAATAGCATTTCAAATTCTAGACAAGATAGTAGTGTGCACAGACTAAAAATATTTACAACTTTTTTATAAATTATTTTCTAACCACTAATAACTAAGAAATATCATTCAATACAGGTTATCAACCAATCAACATTTTTAGAAAATTATTATTGGTTTTCAAAAGTCGATAGAGCTGTGGCACATACTAAGAAGTGTACCTATATGTAAATATTTAGAAAATAGAAATTTCATAAAATTATAAAAAATATAATTTAAAAAAAAGTTATAGTACTTTAATTATTTGCTGAGAAAATTAGTGGTCTATGTTAAATGGATAATTTAGTAAATTAATTTTTACCAAAAATTTGTGGTCCCTTGAGCTATCATATGCTCGTTGTCCTGTTGCTATTTCAAAAAGAACCTAAAAATAAAAAAAACGTGTTAAACTATATTTCATAATAGACATAAGATCTATAGTAGATAGTAATAATAATAATTATAATTTTCACTAATACTCCTTTAATATAAATTATAATATTTATACCTGCATTACTCCTTTTAGCCTTAACACTATAGTAGGAGAGAGAATGTATAAAAAGAGATATTTCTGTTAGTTATCATAATTAATTGTTAATAATCAATTGTTCTCAAAGAAAACCAAAGCTAGACTATATACGGCATTAATAAGGCCTATGCCTACCTATGGCTGCGAAGCATGGACTACCACCAGTACAACCGAAAGAAGGCTCAGGACTTTTGAAAACAGAATTTGGAGAACAATTCGTGGACCACTTTATGATACCGAAAATGCAACTTGGAGAAGAAAATTTAATAAAGAACTGCAAGACGAATTTGGAATTGCATCAGTCATCAGCTTCATAAGAGGGCAAAGGATTCAATGGTTAGGACACGTGATGTGGAGAAGCGAGGATGATACAAGTAGAGCAGTCCTTAACTGGAAACCAATGGGAAAAAGATCTCGAGGGAGGCCCAGGAAAAGATGGCTGGATGTTGTGGAAGACCTTGAAAAATTGGGAGTACAGGAATGGAGGGAATTAGTTCAGGATCAAGAGAAATGGAGGGATATTGTGCTGGCGGCCAAAACTCTTGGAGAGTATTAAGTGCCAGGGAAGAAGAAGAGGAAGTTATCATAATTAAGAATTGTATAGATCTGAAACAAACTGAGAAATTATATTCCTGAATTTTAAAACTAATAAACAAATACTGGAATAAAACTTGGAATAATTTACTGGAAAATTAATTTTTTCCTCTGTGTAATAAACACACTGCCAAATGCCTTAAATGAGTGGCTTAGTTATCATGGAATCAGCAAGTCTAGTTGCCCCTGGTGTATATAATACTTTAGGACACATCTGTATTTTTTATGAAGCTACTTATATGTATTTTATAGAGCCCTTAGCGCATAAAAATAGTTTGCATCTAGTCGCATTAGATTATAACTACACCAATGCTCATAGTAGACCGAGCTAAAGGTTTTTATTTTTTTAATAACTTGTAACTAATAAATTGACAGAGTGTAGAACCGGCGACAGTGAGCGCTAAACACACTGACGCCTTACACACTTGGCCACTCCTCCTCAACTATAATTTAAAAAAAAAAAAAAAAACTTCCTCCTCAACTATAGTTATAAGTATACTGTACTTACCACGCCAAAACTAAATGTATCAACTTTTGCAGAAAATTTCTTGCCTCTCAAAAATTCATCTGGAAGGTATGGTCTAGTCCCATGAACATGACTAACTTTAACGTGAGTGTACTGCTGAAGTGGTCCTTCACGAGCCAAGCCGAAATCCCCAATACGTGGTTCAAAATATGGATCCAAAAGAATATTTGCGCTACAAAAAAAGATGTTAATAGTATTTAATTGATTATAGATCTGGATTAAAAGATGCTGAAAGAATTATACCTCTTAATATCACCATGAATTAATACCATACTATGTAAAAATTGTAAGCCTCTAGCTGATCCTGTAGCAATTTTATACCTCTGACACCATGACAAAGGCTTTGTTTGTTGCTTGAATTTAATACAATAAAATATATTTTATAACAAAAACAAAATTGTACACATATTATATACATAATATATAGAGTGTATCATGATGATCTGACAGATTTGCATACATTAAATATGAAATTTTGTCAAATAATCAAAGAATATACTATATGCCTACACTATATTATGCTAGATTGAATAGCTGAATTAAAATTATGAATATTAAAAATGTTTTGTAATTATTAATAGCACTGAAATATTAGAATATTTTATATTACTAAGGTAAAACAGCAAAAGTAGCGGTCCTTTATTTAAGTAATAAAACATTAAAATGTTCTAAATAAAAACAGGCTTATTATTTGTGAGCGCTGTTGATTGTAGCATTGCTATCGAAATATCCATACAACCGAATATTGAAAAAGGGTAAAGGATATTTTTGGAAGTCTATTAATTGTTAATCTATATTATTTGTTAGTGAAGTCTAGGCAGGCAACTGTCTATGGAAAGATGCTGCCATCCCCCCACTAAAAACTTGGCAGAAATCTACGGGTGATCAGCCCATTCTGCCAAGCAGGTGTCCGAACTAGGCATTCGGGCCTACACTCAAACATTTACGCCATATGAAAAAAAAAAGTAATGAAAATAAAAATAAAAATATTTACACGGCATTGTAATCTATCTTCCAGAGAACCATTTGGCATATACTGATAAACTAAACATGGTTTTTCCCCTCCAATACTGAATCCATACAAAGAAAGTATATTATCATGCCGACAAGAGTTCAAATATTTTAGTTCACGTAAAGACTGCTGTCGTTGAGCTTCTAAAACATTAAATTCTTGTTCAGCTCCTTTCTAAAAATAAAAACTTAATAAGTATTGTTTAATAATAATAATTTATAAAATTTCTAGTTTTAATATAACCACCTGAGCTTCAAGTCGTTTTATAGCCACAGCAGTATTTTTCCAAATACCTTTAAAGACTACTCCAAATCCTCCTTTTCCTAAAATATTTGCTTTATCCCAGTTATTAGTAGCTTTTTCCAATTCATTATACGTAATTAAAGGTGTACATGCTTCCGCTGAGGACTGCATGGTGGTTGGGTCTAAACTCTTAGCTTCGTTGCTTTTATTCAATGTATTTATGTCTTGTTGGTTTATACGGTTGTTAGATCTACTTTGTCGACTGTTATTATTTAGTTTAATAAGATTACTATCCGTTTTGTCCTGTAGCATGTAATAATAGTAATTAAAAACACTTGTACATGTATTATTAAAAATAAATATTGTTAATTATAGTTACATATAAATCACTTATTCCAGTCTCGACTAGATTACTAAATTTTTTTTCACCTTGATAAATCAGTTTGTGATATTTTTGATCAACTGTAAAATAAAAAAAGTTTTAAATTATTTTTATTTGCAATACGAAAAATTTAAAAAAATGTATTACCAAATGGCTTAAGAATGCTCATTGCTTGATAATGTCGCATTTTAGATAAAATTATAAACAATTCTAAAACTGTATGATTCTGTTCGCCCCATAAATTTAATAACTCATCAGTCGGGGAATGATTTCGCATGAAAGCTTTACCAATTTTAAATAATGTTGCACAATCGAAATTCATGTACTTTCCACCTGTAAAATAATAAAATAAAAATGTCAGCTAATTAGAAAAAAACAGTTAGATGCAATTAAAAAAATAATATACGTAGCTAATACCTAGGTCTTCCCATTTATCATTCATATCAATAATACTACAGAAATCCTTTCGTTCTGCATATGGTAACTCATATATAAACATATTAATTTTCTTTAAATTAGTTTTACTCATTGTTGATTTACCTAAATATTTAAAACAATTATAATATATTAATGATATTAACATTTTAGTAATGTATAAAAATAATCTTGGAAAAGTATATAACATTATTAATAAGGTACAATAGAAACTTAATATTAAAAACAATATATAATTCTTTAATTGTACATCCCTAAAAAAATGTATTACTACAGATGTTAAAACAATAGCAATTAATGATTATATTGTGATTCGAATTTTACCATTTCACCGAAAATCCATATTAAAATAAATACAGTTTTTAGTTTTAATTAATGTAATATTAACAAATTTTGCATCAAAGCTAATAATATACTTTATTGGTTACGTAAGAAAAATATAATCAACAAACCTCACACCACCAATGGAGCAAAAATCTGAGAAGTTAATTCCGTCATGATATTATATTGTCTATCCTATTACTCTCATTTTAGAGTAATTTATAATTTTCAAAGTTCAAACTTTAATAGTATAATTTGCAAACTGTAAACTGTTGTAAAATATAACAGGATATATTTTATCAAATATATGCTATAATATAATTCTGTAACACTTTATACAATATGAATATATATAATATATACTATTTACTATTATGCAAATACTATAATTTATGGTGTTTTATTTTTTATCATTTGAAATCGTTTGAAAGATAATATAAAAATATGATAAGCGATGGTATCATCGACATCACGTATGACCACGATTGGGCTGCTACAACTTTTACCAATATCCACTTTTTCTAATAAATATGTATTTTTGTCCTAGAGGAAAAACGGTGATTGGAAAAAGTGGAGGTACCTATGATAAACTATCCCGAGTAAATTTTTACATTTGTATAAAAAGTGTACTTGAAACAATTACCATTTTTACCCTATGACACTATTCCTACGACGATTATGCCTATAGAAAAAATTGATATAGGTAAAAACTAAAAAGGTATAATATGTTTTTCCAAGTAACAATTTATCTCAACTGGCCAAATATTAACTGGCTTAATTATTTCATTCATGGAGATTTGTTTTATGATTCCCTAGCCAAGATTCTTCCTCAATAATTATATTTAATCTGTTATATTATGTTTCATTTGATAATGTCTTATTTTAAAATTTAAATTGTATTAGTTTTAGTCATGTTTTGTTAAAGTTTTATGTTAAATTCTGCAATGCTTGCCTGTAAGGACGTAATTTTTTATTTGCTCTCTTCAAATAAATATTATTATAATTATAATTAGCATCTTGAGGGAGCTGGTGCCTAGCACTCGTAGCCCCCTCACCTAATTGCACCACTAAAGTTGAGAAAAATTTTAATTTCATAGTAAACTTCAAAATTTTAAACTATGAAAATAATAACGTTGGTGAACTAGTCAAGACATCCCAGTGGGAGTAACCTCAGGTCATGTAAATAGTGTAAATATGAAAATATTTTTTTTATAAATAACAATAAAATAAAATTGAAAAAAATATTACCCGTCAGATTATATAGTTTTCTATCTGGCTACACTGGGTTATTAAATAATGAATATTATTGACATCGCACCACGAGCTGATTATCTTAAATCATGCTTTGTACATAGGCTCCTTGGCTTTTGTTGTTCACCTGGTTTCCCGCCATCTACCTACTACATGATATCACTGTTTGTTGTTCTTCTGCGATCTGCCCGCGTTTACTTGATAGACGACGTGTTGGTTTGCTTTATTGTTAAGCATTTGACTCTCCATCTGCATGGTGCATTTGCTTTTTAGTTTATTTGTTTATCGAGTGATTGTTGTTGTCATTCTATAGTTATTATAGTTTTAATAGTGATTTCGCTAAAATAGCCATCATTGAATGATGTACCTAGTTATTTAATTACTTTCGTTGTTTAGACAAATTAAAAACCTCAGTGTACACTTGAAAATACTATGGGCGTACCTAGAAACATCGGTGTGGATGCGGAGGTCTTCAATGGCAAATATCAGGAATTGTGTAAAGGTTTAAATTTGGATAAGAACGCAGCAACCAGAGCGTGGACCACTTATTGTGCTGTTAAAGATAACTATTCCCTTGATGTAAGTTTATACTTGTTACATGTTAGGTACCTAGTTAGTATGATTATGCAAAGTTAATTTTCTATGATACTTTTTATTTAGGGAGATCCAAGTCATTGGTTGGCTTGTGCTATATATGTGGCATGTCGTAATGTAACTGAGCAAGCAGTTGGAGATAGCGAAACTCTGATTGAAGGAAACTTGGTCAGCTTAACACGGTTGCTTCGTCTTTGCAATATTAAGTAAGATCATACATTATTACTAAGTATTACAAATTATTTATATTGCTTAACATTTAAATAAATATATTTTTTTTTTGTTCTGTAGCTTGATAGATTTTATAAGCAAGAGTAAAAAATGGGCAGATATGATTAATATGCCGTCTGAACTGCGCAATAAAATTGAAAAATTGGAAAATAACTTTGCTGTTTCAATGGTTATATTTAAAAAATTTCAACCGATTTTTACAGCTATGTTTAATGATACTAAGGATGAACAAATGAAACCTCGCTGTTCTAAAAAACAGAAGTATAGTATTCATAATATTGATGCGATTATTTTTCTTAATAATAATTTTTTTTTTTCAGAGTCTCTTGTTCATCTTTTAAACTTTTCGAGTTCTGTTGGACTTTATTTATTTCTACAAAATCTGAATTTCCAACTTTAAGTAATGATTTGGTAAACTCTTATCATTTGTTATTAGCTTGCTGTGATTACATTTATTCAAATGTTCTTATTGCTGACTTAAGAGATCTTCTCAACACGTCATTTGGTGGTAATTTTTGTTTGCTTACAATTATATGCTTGCATAATTTTGTTAAGATTTAAAATCTAATTATTATGTTAAATAATATAAACCTGGTTGACTGTTTTTATAATAATATAATTTGATAATCTTAAAGACTGCGCTCTGAACAGCATCAAATACATAACGGGTCTACATTAGGTAATAAGCACTTTTTTGTATTACTATTCAATTAAATCTATTTTTTTCTTTTATATATAAATAAAAAATATTACGACTATTATTATGTTTTGTGTCTCTTAAAACTGATTACAACTACAGAAAATTATACATATTTTGTGGTATCTCCTCAATTCATTGTGTATGTAATATAAAACATAAAATCAAGAAAAATCTTTAATCTTCTTCAAATTATATTATACTATTATATTGGTTATTAGGCTGAACAGTCAAGTTAATTATGGTTTCAAAAAAATATCATTATAATATAGATAAAATATAAAATTTTTAAAAAGTAAGTCTGTCTGAATCTTTTGAATTGTTGGAATTAAAATTTGGTTTTTTTTTTAGGCCTACCACAAGATTTTGGTTCTAATTCTTATGTACCACCAACCAAACCAATTTGTATAATTGATTATTTGTGCAAACATTATGAAGGCATAGCTACTGAGGCCAATTCAATTGAAAAATATGCTTGGAAAGTCAATTTAAAAAAATTGATTGAGAGACGTGTAAGTATCTAATTTTTATTTTTATAATATTAGTTTCTGAGAAGACTAAAACTGTAATAAATTACTACTTAGTACCTATTCGTCATAGACCACATGCAATGTTCTACCAACTTGTTTAATGTCGTTCTCATTTGATTGATTCTAATATCAAGAATAGTTATTTTTATTTTTTATTTTAAGGTATTAAAAGGAGATTCAGATTTATTTTTACTTTTGGACCCGATTAATTTTGACTTCAATTATAAAGCTATCAATAAGCGCTATGAACAATATGTGCTGAGTGTTGGTGAATTTGATGAAAGGATTTTTCTTTGTTAGTATAAATATGTTTTAAATGTGTTTTAATAATGACCATTTTGCAAAAATTATTTATATTATGTTTCAGCTGACAATGCTAACATTGAAATAGGTCCATCAACTGAATGTACTACTGAAGATTTAGCTAAAGAGATGGAAAATAAAAAGGTATATCTATGTATAAAATGAACAACTTTTCTATAACTTAAAAAGTAGAGTTAAAATTGTTTTCTCTTTCATCTTCATTTTATACTCCCAACGACATTAAAGCCACATTAATCTTCCACTCCCATAGAGCTCGATCTCCTACATCTCGTTCTAACTCGCCAATAAAATCCTCATATCACTCTTTTCCGTCTATCCATATTTTCTTCGGTCTTCCTCTCTTTCCCTCTACATTCATCTTCATAACAACTCTCTCTGCCTCTGCCTCCTCATCTCTTCTCATAACATGAACAACCACCACAATCTATTCTCTCTCATTTTCCCCATAATTTATGCAACTCCTAGACTCCTCCTTATGTATTAGTTTTTTATTCTATCCTGTCTAGTCGCTCTACTTGTCCATCTTAGCATTTTCATCTTCGCTACACTTATTCTCTGTTCAGTTTTCTTGTCTATTGCCCAACATTCCGACCCATATAACATTACTGGCCTCACTACCGTCCTATAAAATTTACCTTTCAATCTTATAGGCATCCTCTTGTCACATAAAACCCCTGACGCTGCCTTCCACTTCATCCATCCACAATTTACCCTATTTTTCACGTCCTCATACACCATTTTTTTGTACAACCAATCTTAAGTACTTGAACCTCACACACTTCATCATCACCCATCTGCATCACCTGTCTTGCCCTTTATCTTTCTCCAAAATCAAACCATATTGCCTCTGTTTTACTCCTACTAATCCTCAGTCCTTTCCCTTCAAGCTCTTCTCCACTCTCCAAGTCTCACCAAATTCATCCAGACATTCTTCCACTAAAACTACATCATCCGCTTATATACACTATGGCACCTCCCCCTTTATGTCTTATGTAACCTCGCCTATATAGGCGCGTTCCAAATTGTGCTACGCGTAGTTGCATTATACAACCAACCGCGCGCGTAAACGTTGTACCTTTCAGTCTATTAACCAAATATAATTGTTGTTTTGACTTTAGAACTACATTATTTTTTGAAAAAAATATTAAAATTTTCTATAAAAATGCAAAAATAAATTCAAATTAGGTAGGTTATCTACCAACCGAAAAATTGGAAAATTGGCTACTTTAAACGCGTTTTCCTCAAAATAAAAATATTTCGCACGCCGTGCAATGTAGCTCAATAAATTTTAATCTGATTGACATGTGGTTTGGCGCATTTTGTTCCTTAACTTCTGGCTTTTGAATGAACCTAAAAGTTTATTAATTATTATTACTCAATAAATAATAAATACTGTTTTTTAGAAATTTTTTATACAAAAAATAGGTATTTTCGTTAAAAATTATTCTGAATTTTTAATATAAAATTTTAGGTTTATGCAAAACGTATGAACGTATTCTAACAGAAAAATTTTAGAATTTTTATTTTAGATAATTAGAGCAACCTGTACGCTGCACGGCGCAAAAACGAAAAGCCAGATTCAAACAGCTGCAATGCCACCATTTTTAATTTTTTCGATATGAAACTTTTTTGTAAAATACTTTGAGTTGACAATTTCATGATGTAATTTATTTCATTTAAATAAATCTTACCATTTTTTCAAAAAAATATCTGAAAAAACGGCTGTTTACACGACCCTCCCCCATTAAACTTAAATACAATTTTTTTTTCATTTTAGAACAATTTATTTAATTATCATACTCCTCTTACTGGACAAAATTATTTGAAACCAAAAATTGATAATTCCGATCAAAGTACACCTATAAAAAATGCTACAGATATGGTATTCAAGATTGAATCTATTTTAACAGATTTTTTACCTCAGCCGTCAGATAAATTGTACTTATTACTAAAGTAAGTGGGCTCAATTGCCATTTGGCATTAAATAAAGACTTTTACCTTTTTCATAGTATTAAATATTATATTTAAATATAAGCATTATAATCGGTATAAACGTTGTTACTAAATAGGTCTTGTGCTGTAAATGTGAAAGATGAAATTGAATGTTTAATTGCCAAACTGGGCAATAAATTCTGCACACAATATTCCTTTATTGATAGAAATGCTGCGTTAAACAATGATATTGCTGAAAAAAGGTTTCACTTGGCGAAAGTTTGGTTTTATAAACTATTTGAAAGTATTGTTGCTAAAGAAGCAAAAAATCCAAAATATGATATTAGGGTATGTTATAGTAAACAACAATTTTGTAATATATTTTTTTAAACTAATTATAGTGGTTTTTTTTTTACTTTAGTCTTTAATTTCTCATAATGTATTTCATGAGACACTTCTTGCTTGCTGCTTAGAAATGATATTATTTGCTTACAATTCACATTGTGCGTTCCCTTGGGTTATGAACGCTTTAGAAATACATCCATATCATTTATACAAGGTCATTGAAGTAGTTGTACGTGTGGAAGATAAATTACCTCGAGATATGGTGAAACATTTGAATCGGGTGAGTGTAGTTGTGTATTAAAAGATATTAAGTGAACAGTATTATAATTATTTTTTTTTATGTATTCAATTAATTAAATTTAATAATAACGCTATTTATAATTTGATCCTACAATAATAATAATTTTTCTTTTTTATAATTTATCTATTATAATGTGTCCACTATACTATGTTTTAAAATTTATTTTTTTTAATTTTATTTTTTTCATAATAACATTTTTACCTTATTTCATAACTTTTAAAATACATAACAATATTTAATGAGTGTATTTTTTTCTAGGTTGAAGAACAAGTTTTAGATAGTTTATCTTGGCAAACTCATAGTCCATTATGGGATTTAATTAATAAAAACGAAAAAGAAATTCCTAGATATGAAGATATTGCTTTGGTCAATATCATAGGAACACATGCATCTAATCAAAATTATAAAGTAGAGATTAATCAGACTACTCATCATAAAGGTATTAGAAAGAGTTAGCTATTAACTTACCCGAATTTGTGTAGAACTGGCGTACAATTTTAGAATTAGAACTTGCTGGATAACTCAAATAATACTAAAAATACTTCATCTTTAAGATAAAAGAAACCTTCATTCTTTATTTTAGCATTGACATAAAAGGCTATTCAGATTTTTCGGTTAGGTTTGTGTAAAATAAAATATTTTGTTATTTACAAAAGGTTAACCCTTTCAGCATAAACAACATACACATTTATGTAAGTAACTGTGTTCTAATCCCTATTCTAGTATTTTAACTGGTGTTCTAGTGTGTTGCATAACAAATAGTTTGTGCTGAAATGGTTAAAAGTAAAATTGTACATAGTTTTAATAATGTATTAGGTGTTTAAGAATCACATAATATTGTTTAAAGATTACTAAATGTAAATAAGTTTTTAAGTAGCATTACATCAATATAAACTTTGTTTTTAATTTATTAATTTTTTTATTAATTGGGTGAAACTACAACAATTGGGACCTGACGAATTTTGCAATCATCTGTAAGACAATTAACACTTAAAAAATTAATAAATATTTTTGTTAAATAGATTAATGCGCAGTTTATTTTTATTATGCGTATATTATCACAAAATGTCGTGTGTTAACTTATTCATTTTCATGTAACTATTAGATTTGTAGGTAGCTATTTTATCAATTTTTTTTTGTTGAAAAAAATCAATTTGATACAAATTACATATATTGGTGTTCTTATTTTTATGATTTTCAGATAGTCCAGTATCTGACAGATTTATATCCCCAGCACCTGGACAACCTAATATTATGAGATTAGGACGTCAGATTCCTGTCAATGAAAATAGGCAACCTTATTCTTTGCCTCGAATGGCACCAAATAAAAAAATAGGAACGTTTGGATTATTTTATAGAAAAGTAAAGAATGAAGTAATAGTGTATAATTTAATATTTCTCATAACATAATTTTTTTGACTTTTCAGTTTTATAATTTGGCTTCTGTACGCATGCAAGATCTGTGTTACCAGTTGAGTATTAATGAAGATCTAATGCGCAAGATTTGGACTTGTTTTGAACACGTCATTATTGTACATGCAGATATGATGCGTGATAGACATCTAGACCAAATATTGATGTGTACTATATACATAATTTGTCGAGTTAGTGTTATATATATATATTTTTTTTTTGTATGTATAGGACTGCAAATGGCTACAATTGCATGTTGCACCTGATATTTTGTTATACTAAAATTTTGAAAAAGATGACCTATGCATAACATATTTATTTGTATAAGCTTTCTTATATAGTAATATTTCATATTTTTCTTTAAAACTGAACAGGTTGTGAATTTAAATTTACGATTTCAAGACATTATGAAATGTTACCGTAATCAGCCACAATCAGCGTCACATATTTACCGCAGTGTATTAATATCTTCAAAAATATCTAGTCAAGGTAAGTTTACTAAAAAATTATAACTATACAATCTGTAAAAATAAAATAAGTTGTGGGCCATTTTAAAAGTTAAAAACGCAAGTTTATGAACAATTTATTAAGATAAAATGTTTTAATTTGTTAAAACAGAGCAAATAGAAAGTGATGGGTCGCAAAGTGATGAAGAACGTATTGATCTTATTAAATTTTACAATAAAGTATTTGTCTATGAAGTAAAAGATTATGCTTTAAGATATTCTACAAACACTTCAGTAAGTTACTACTACTATTATTAATACAAAAACAGCTCTTTCATTATTATGAAAACTGCTCAACTAAAGACACAAAAACTGAATAAAATAAAAGGGTGTGAATAGTTGAATAAGTTTAGTAAATTATGTAAGGCTTACATTGTCAAGTAAAAACTAGTCCAGAGAGAGGAGGTTTACAAGGTACTTTTTAGGTTGCTTGATAACATTCTTAATTTGTATGAGACACTTATTGTAACTCGTAGATTGATGGTATAGTAAAGTATAAAACTTGTGATTGGTCACACTTTTGAATGGGTCTATTAGCAACCCCTTCAAATATTAATCCTTCCCAACTAAACAAAGGTTATGTATAGAAAATGATGTATGTTAATACAAGTGTTATTTATTTGTTAATAACTAATGATAATTTACTTTTCTTATTTAATTTTAGAATGAAAATCTCGTTTTGTCACCTTTGCCAGCTACAAAATCTCAACTGCATTCACCGACTACTCGACGTGTTAGTGATAGAATTCCAATATTTATTCGTAAACTTGAAGCACCCGGTAGTCCAATTATATCGCCAATAAAACCATTGAGCTATTGTATTAATCAAAGTCCAAAAAAAGTAAGAATTTTTTTTCTTATAATATGTAATGTGTATTACACAAAGAGAAATATATATATATATATATATATATTTTTCAGTGTTAATATGAAGAAAATAACGAGATTTTAAATTTACCCTAGTATATAGTAGCATTGATTAAAAAATATACAAATTAGGGGTGCTATACATAAGAACGGCGATTGATTTTATGGTGGCAACAGAGGTACCCTCATCATAGTTTACTACTATCCGCTCGTCTATAAACAATGACAATTGTTCTCTCTATTGCTAGCCTGAATACTGCATAAACCCGGTCGCCGTTTTTATGCTGTTTAGAACCACTATCTGTATACAGTGGAGTTATTTGGGGGAAGGTTTGTAGGGGGGCATTTGCCCCACCATTGATTTTTATGGGCTGGGAAAATTTTTGGTACGTAAGGCTGTAAATTATCCGTTTTTTTTAGGCAATTACCTACCTTTACTAATAATGAACCGTCTAAACTGACTACCTAGTATAAGAAAGGTTTATATTATTTGTGGTTATTTGTAACTATAAATTACTGTTATTAAGTATGTTAATGATTTTGAGAATATCTTTGATATTGTCTCATATTTATTTTTTATTATAATTTAAATGTGTTATAAGTAATTTTAGAGTATCATTTTATAAATTAACCAATTGATGTGTGTTTTTAGGATTTACAACATATTAATTTGATTACTATGCGTGCTATTACCAAGAAAAGAAACATAAATGACGAACATGTTAATGGACCAAATGCAAAACAGAAACCTCCATCCCCTCCGGTTATAGCTAAAAGATTACAAGGTCTTTTAGAAGAACGCTTAGAGCATAATATTGATAAATAATTTTCTTTCGCTTAATCTTCTTCATTTATCTTTCTAGTGAATTTTATACTTTAAATATAAAATTATGTGTGCTTTTAAAATTAAATTAAAACATTTTTTTTAAAAGAAATTTGTGTGTCTGTGAATGGGAGTATGTATTAATTTCTGTTTACATGTGTGTAAAACTTTGCTTCTAGTTTAACAATTTTTATATATTCTGGATCTCTTGTAATTTTTATAGCCTATTTTTTAAAATTATATTTTATTTAGTATTAATATGATATTGTATTAATTTAACCCAATGAATAAATTTAAAAAATATAAAATATTAACATATAATTTTGTATACTTGAATTTAATAATCCTATGTATTTGTAGTAATTTTTATAACTTAAATTAGATTTTAATATTTTATGTAAATTATACTTTCTCTTTGACTTTAACATTAATAATTTATCATTCTACTAATATTGATTGTTACTCAATGTAATTGCACAACATTTTTGTAAAATGTTGAAAATAATATCAATGAACTTCATATTTTAACTAATATTAACTGTAAGATTATTTATGATAATATATTTGTCGTGCAATTAATTAATTTACCTTTATTAGGTATTTTATGTATAAATATAACATTAAACAAATTATTTACATATATATATTTATAGATTCACTATTCTTTGTTTAATTTTTAAGTAAAATTAAAAATTACTTTATGAAAACATTTTGCTTTTTGATATTATTTGTACTCGTGTATAATGTTTGTTGTCATTAGTGATAGGAAATATTTGAATGGTTTGACATTTGAGAGTATTCTAGATTCAAATCCTTTGAATACTATTCGAATAGTTATAATATTTATTTAAAAAATTGTATTTGTAAATCTATATGTTATATATTAGCTAGCTTCGATGCAAAACTAATAATGTATTATTTTTATGATAATGTGTTTTCTTGTTTTGTACTCAACACGATAATTTTTTTTTCTACGGACCAATTTATTTGAGTAGCATCTTCATCGATCCAAAATCATATATTATTATTACTTAATAGTGGTTAAAATTTGATATGTATAATCCACTTCTTTGCCAACAAAACTGGTATAATCCCTAGTAAAATTTACATGTTTTTAACTTTCAATATTTAATTAAATTTAATACGCTTTAAATGATTAAAAAACGAAACAGACGTCATTTTTATGAAACATTTGTTAGGCATATTATCATTAATTTCATTCGCCTCTCATCCCCACAAAGGCAGGTGAAGTTTTGCACTTTATACACAATACTTTTGCAACAGCTGAACCGATTTACTGAAGTATAAAATTAATAACAAATCATATCTGGAAAACAGAAAGTACTTAAAAAGGTTAAACGTTCTAATGCTCGAAAATAAAAAATAAAATTTTCACAAACTGTTTTATTTTGTAAGCTTAAGTACTTAGTACTTTTAAATTGTTTTTAAAAAAAAGTTAAATTTTGGCCTTGACTTAGTAGTAATATACTTAGTAGCTAATAATAGACTAAACCCCAAATTTAAGTTCTTAAATTTAAAAAAACATCAGTGTTCTTATAATTTATTTTATTAGACAACGAAAAGTTATGGAAATAGTACAAAAAGAATTGAAGAAAGAGTTTCGTAGAAACTTTTTCAGCGTACGGTTTATAAAATTCTAAATTCGTTATGAAAAAGTGAGTTGCGTAACTGTAAAATATTTTTTATTATTGCAAAATACAAAACATTTTTTTTTCAAATTTTTAAGTAGCTAAAAATTGACAAATAAATTCAACATTTTATTAAATTTTTATGCTGACTCAAGGTCAAATTTTTTTTTTTATTCTGACACGTCTAACCACTTTTTTGTTTCAGAACTTCTAAAATAGTTTTTTTTTTTTTAACATTTTATTGGTAAAACAAACAATCTGTAATTATTATATTACAATAAGTCCGTAAGCGGAAATAATACAATGACTTGGATACACATGAATAAAAGCAGCCGCCCAATGGCGGCACTCTTTAACTTGAGGGGAACTCTATAATAGTAACTATCAAATATAAGTAACTTCAAAGTTTGGTATTTTGCTAAAATGGGCAATATCAGAGTTGTAAGAACATGAATTTTTCGTATTTTAATCTAAAAAAAACTTAAGCACTTATAGTTATATGCAATAAAATAATAATGAAAACCCTTAACCATAAAAATTATATACTTTTATTATTATTTTATTTCGTATTTTAGATCACCGCTTAACATCTTTTTATTCCAGTTCTTACAGTTCCTATTAGAAATAAGTCTTCGTTATCAGACGTACAGCGATGTACAATTTTCAGAGTTTTTGGTTTAATTCCTAAGAATTTATAGGCTCTTTAATATGGAATGGAATGGCCCTATAAAAGTATTAAATTAGGTATATCTAGATATTATTATTTTAGTCTTCTTCTTATTGTCCATTTTTTTTTTATTATTGTTAATACTGCGTTGTATATTATTTTTTGTACAAATTGCCCGATTAGGCGTAATAAAACTGTACAATAGGACGGGTTAGGATTTCTAGTATTCTTGTTGATTTTACAGTTTCGACCTATTTATTTATTATAAGGTAAAACTATCACTTTTTTAGCATTGTATTTACAGTACACAAAATGCACATTGCACAATAATGTTTAGGTATCTTTAGATCCTCTTTGGATTTTTGGAATTGGTTTCTAACAACTAAATGTAAAGTTTAACAACATAATATAATTTATTTATTTTCTTGCTATGTAATAATATGTTCCCAAGTCATATTACTGATAGTGTAGCGGAGTACAATGGGATTGGCCGTTTTTATGCGATCCATGGCATAAAACATTTGGTATAAAGTGATGTCAACTGTTGTTTTGTACACCAGTAATTCTCGGTTCTCGATGTCGTCATGACCGCCAAAAGTGGAATGCATTATTTTTCGCAATTTATCTAAATCACGGATATACCTTGGCGTTTCTTCCAGAGTAATCGCCACGATATAGCCAGAATATTGGCTTTTGAATCCGTCCAAGTTCCCGAAATACTTGATTTTGTCACGAATCATCACCATAATTCTATCGCACAACGCTTCACATTCTTCCATACTGTGTATTGGTAAACAATTGAATTCTATGCGTGTAAATTGAAATATCTCCATTAGCACATAAACGTTATGGTAACCTACCTGCGAGTTGTAATTAAAACAGAACAGCCATTCTTTTTGATTTCGTCCAAGGCGTCCCATATTATTTGCTTGGTAACCGGATCAGTTCCCTCGGTCGGTTCGTCTAAAACGACCAACACTGGCTTTCCAATCATAGAAATGGCTAATTTCATCTTCAACGTTGTCGCATGGCTATAATAAGCACAACACTGATCTTTATACTTTTCGAGTTCTGTAAAAATGATTTATAGGTAAATAATAAATACTGTTATAAAAAAGCCAGTACAGTGGGATCGGGGCATAGTGGGGACGGAGAGGTCACAGGTCTACAGATTTTATTATAACTGAAAGTGATAAAATCACTTTTAAATAAACGCTTCGATGCGAATCTGTGGACAGTATGTTCAAACCAGTTATAGCGGTTTAGAAGATATCGTGGGACCAGCAATAATGTACTTAAAATTTAATATTTAGTCTTGTGCAGGGTGGATACGATAAGGGTTGATCGTCTGTCTATAAAAATGTACTGTCATAGTTACCCATGTATCGTAATAAACAATTTAATGAAAATATGTTTATTACCTGTTGACTGTTGATTCACACACACATAGCAACCAAGAAACTGACTACGGCCAAAGTGTAAATTTACCCTATTTTGGGGTTTTTCCTTAAAAAAAAAAATTTGACTACAGATTTTTGAGAAAATTGTATATGTTATAGTTCCATTTTAGATTTACCTTTGGTCTAATTTTCAGATCTAAATCTCTAAAACTTTGCTTGAAAAAGTGAAATAAAGAAAAAAATTCTATCCCTTCTAAAGGGAAAGGGTTTATGATATATTTTTGGTTTGTTAATGTTTGTCGATAGTACTATGTTTGAAGAAAAATTCATATAAATTTGGAACATTTTTGACTATTTTTAAAAAAGTTATAGAGCATCGTAATTTTAAGTTGAAAAATTTGTAAATTTTTTGGGTGTTTTTCTCGATTTTGATGAGGAAGGGGTGACTTTTTTAATTTTTGGCCCAATAGAGTATCTTTCAGATATGATTTCTGATCTATAGAGTTGCAACACGAAGAAATCGGTTGAGTGGTTTACGAAATATCGTGGGTCCAGACACAAAAATAAAAATAAACACATTATTGTAAAATCAATACCTTCTTAGCTACGCATCGAAGCTAAAAAAAATGGTTCGTTTGAAATCGTTTTGTTTTTATTTGGTCATCAATTATTTCATTTAAATGATTGCAATAAACCGAGTTTCATTAACGCAATTTTCTTTGTATATAAAATCGTCTTTACGGTTAAAAAAGAATAATATCAAGTTTTTAATTTAATATAGATAGTCTTACGACAGTGTTGAATGCATGTTTCGATCTCGGACGAAAGAAGTTTCCGGGGGACGCCTCTGAGATTGGCGAAGAACTCGAGAGTCTCTTTTCCAGTGAGCATTTTGTTTAATTTTGTATTTTTCAAAATATATCCAACACAATGACGGTTCTTTGTCAATTTCACACCTTTTATGAATATTTTGCCGTACGGACAACAGTTGTCGGAAATTACGTTGATGATGTCGTTTATTCGGGCATCGGAATCTCCCAAAATGGCAAAACATTCGCCTTGGTTCAAACATAAGTTCACTTGGTCCGTAATCTTGGGTTTCAACCAGCCATTTATATTTTGAACATTATCGATCAGCAGTGTTTTTGTTTTCCACAGTTCATTGATTTTTATTTGTTTTATATATTCTTTTTCATCGATCACTCCTTGACAACCGTGTTGATCGTGTCGTTTAAAACCGGATATTATTAATCTGCTAACTAACATTTCAATTTTTCGTGTAATTTTCCAGCGAATTATCACAAATATCGCCAAGTATATAATCGTATCTCCAATTAAAAAATACAAGTCGTATAAAAGTCCTTTGTAATCGTTTGCCTCATTAGGCTCAACAAAAAATTTTAATTTCTTACCAAATCCCACTAAATGAGAACAAAAGTAATCACAAATATAGATAATACTGACATTTTGTCGATGTTGACCATATATTTCATACATATGGAAGTATAATATAATATGTATATTATATTTGATAGATTTTTGTAAATCGATACCGACTTACGTTTACATTCGTTTCTGTATTCGTCGTTTGAACATAAATTGCAGAAGTTATTGTGAAGTGTAATGTCCATAAATTTGAGCGCTGCATGATTGTAGACGTTCGGTGAAAAAAGTGAAAATACGTTGTTAGTCGTAACAACGCTGTACAATATATTGTGTATGTCTATTTCACCATTGCTAATAAGTACAGAAGATGCGTACATATTGCAAAAGATTGGCCCTACCCCAACTGAAAGCATAAATTGTGTTAAAGCAAAGCATAAATAATATTATTAGAATATTTACTTCCTATAAGCAATACACTATATAGAATAATTGTCGTGTTTGCATTGTTGAACAGAGTACTGAATATATACGCTAGAATTAAAATAGATACCATGAAAAGTTCAGTTAACACAAACAACACACCTGAAAAGAACAGGTTCACACAATGCATTATGTTGGATTGGTAAGAAAAAATGTTTCACTATTAACCGTGTAAACATGTGTAAATGCACTAACCGATATCTTTTCGGATGACATCATACAAGTCTAATGCGTACATCATGCCCATAGTTGCCAGTGAAATTAAGGTTAATTTACTAATATCAAAAATAAAGCAAACGATCCAATAAACGACAGGATTCATGTTGGACAGTATTTGCATTTGATAAAACCCAGTAACCCTCTCGTGTAACGGAAATATGACAAATCTAGCTCCGAATATTACACAGAACACCACTAATAACTGAGTACTTGTAAAAGGTATAAAAAGTTCATATTCTTCATGGCCGCACGAGTAATAAAAAAAACTTTCCAGTGGATGGTTGTACGTAACGATTTCGCCATTGGCTACAGTTTGCAATTCAGTGTTTGAATAAATGTTGATTGCAATCGGAAGTGAATGCAAAGCAACGGGGTTAAAGAATAGTTCCGTTTCGTATTCCTTCAGTTCGAACGCAGCGATGTATTTTTTATAATAACTTTCTATATCTTTGCTGCCGATTTTCAATAGTTCTGAAAAATGACCCATAAAAATAAATGTTTTTAGTCAAATTATAAGTAAGATTTCGACACCTATTTTTTTTAACGACGGTGGAAATGTTTAAATGTGAATTCAGGACAGTGCATTTATGTATATACGAGGAGTACGCGGATTATAGCAATGTTAAAGTAAAGTTTATTATCAGGCATCGGCGGGTAAACCGGTTATTTAAGGTTTTGAGGAGATTGAAAGCGGTCGGGATTTTTGGACGTTTTAAACCGAAAAGTCTGGCAAAATTACACCTACTTGGGTTCGATTTAAATTCTGTAAAAATAGTGGTTTATCAGCTTCTTTCCTACGTTATTGTGGCAATCGTTTTTTGATACTTTAATTCAAATTGTGTTTAAATCCTATTTGAATATCTCAAATTTCTCAAATTTTTAGTATTCACTTCATTGGCTTTTTTAAGTAAATGTAACAATTTTTCAAAACTCGACTTCCACAATAACCTGGAAATAAGGTGGATCAGCTAAATTATTTTTACAGAATTAAAATCCGATCATTATAAGTAGGCGTAATTTTGTCTGGCTTTTAGGACTAAATTGGTTTCTTTTAGGAACAAAATGGCTTTTACACGCAGAAAAAATTGTACAAGTTAAAAATTATACCCTGAACCTTATACAAATTAACTTGAAAATAAATTGACATGGTCGAAATTTTTAAAACCCTTTTTTCTTATGTTGCCTATATAAACCCCCTAAAAGCCACTTGCTTCCATCTCCTAATGTTGATGGTCTAATTCTCGTGATCCACATTGTGTGCATTAACATATTATTTTTTCGACGTTCTCGTGCTTGATTAAGCCCGGTTTATCCGGGCTAATGATTCGAATTACTTTGATTCAATAATTATTTATACGAAGGTTTACCATCATTAACATCGTCTTTTATTGGTACAAAAGATTCATTAAGAAACCGTTCATATTCTTTAATACGATTGGAGTGTTCATTTCTAACTAATACCAAAGGATATTGGTATATATGGTAACTGTTTCGAATTTTGTCAGGAACGGGAAATGTGACGACAATCAAAGTAATTGTTAATATACTGAACGATCCCAATACTATCAATAATAGCGCCTATAAATGTTGAAGATTTTTAAAGACATCTGAAAATTATATTTGTTTTCTGTACTTACAAAAAACCCGAAATTAAGTATATATCTTTTTGTAGAAATACATTTCTTTTTTAGAAGTGTCCAGAATTGTAGAAAAATTAATGACAATCCAGAATAGTATTTTGTGTCCATGCTCCAAATTTCAGAGAGTCGACGAAGTGTACTAAATTTGTATTGATCTTTGGTTTTAATTTTCCCAGACCTTAAAAATCAATTAGATAAGCTATAAGATAAAATTATTTATATTATAAATAATTGTAATATGCGATCGTAATAAATATTTGAGAGGGTGGAAACTTTTAAGTATCTCGGGGGAAGGGGGGGGGCTTGATATAACCAGTGGTGGACATGAAGTACAAAGAAAAATAAGTGCAGGAAACTAATGATTTAGAATGCTGTGACCACTCTTCAAATCAAAGATACCAATGTTGTTATTAGACCACTTGCATTATATTCCTGTGAGACGTGGCTCTTACAACGAAACCCGATGAGAAAAAGTTAGCGATATTTAAAAGGGAAATATTAAGACAAATGTTTGCTCTTAAAAATAATATGGAAACTAACGAATACGAGCGCAGAACCAATGATGATCTAAATAGATCATATAATCAGATGGATATAGTGGTAATAATAAAAAGCAAAAAGATTAGATAGGTAGGACATGGTTGGAGTAAGGGAAAATGTTAAATAATATAACTTCATGGGTTCTAGATAAGAAAAGACCCTATGGAAGATCAATACAACGATGGCGTGGCTGTATACATCAGGACCTACGTTTGATGAACGATGGCAGGACGCGATAGTTGCGGCAAGGAGCCTACATAATCTATAATAAGGCATAAATAAAATAAATACATATACATAATTGTTTTTTTTACATGAAATACACATCGTTGATAGTTGTTTTTTTTACAGCTAATGACCCAACACCAAATGTATTTTTGTTAATTTCTATGTGCTGAACAAGTTTTATTAAAATACTATCATCTCTTATCGGTAGTATGTATATTAATTGATTGTTGTATTCCGATAATAATTTTACTTCAGGAACAAACTTGCTGATCAACTTTCCCAACACGTCGATATTGCATTCAGATCCAATGTTTATTTTCAAGGAATAGTTATCAATACCTTTAAGAAGTATAATTCTAAAAAAGCTGAGTAAATTAAAAAATGAAAATATAAATTCATCATAAGTAAATAAATAATACAAAAATATCTCAACTGTAATCATTTCTCTCTAAAATAATAGAAATGTTGTACATTTTCTTTTTGAAAACATTTTTGTTTATGTTATTTTGCAATATTGCATATTGTAGTAGAATGATTATTAGATTGATAGAATGTATATTTAATAAAAAAAAATTGTATCACTTAAATTATCTGGACTATTAATGTTTTGTGTATTATTATCTGTCTTGATGTGATTTGCATTGAATTTATTGAGCATTATACTTGTTATATTTGTATTATTTTATAAAATATTATTATTATTAATATTACAAAATAACTAAATACCTATTTACTTTTTTTTAGAAATGTCCACAGCTCAATCAACTTTTGGAACTTAAATGGTAACTTATATATTTAGCCAACTTTTTAATTTAAGAATAATTTGTTGAAAATGTTGACTTAAAGATACTTAAGTTTAAAATTTAGAACGGGAGAAAGAATGGAGTGTATTATGCACGTATTACGCTACTGCACAAGACCACCTCCAGACCTTAATTTCAAACTTGAGTAGGTAATTTTAAAAGTTAATACCAATAATTGGTTACCGACTAGTCAATATTTTCAGCAAATTATCTTAATTTAAAAGTTATCTAAGTATAAACGTTACCATTTAAGTTTTAAAAGTTGATAGAGCTTAAGAAAAAAGATAAACTTTTAAATGTTGTCTAGAATTTAAAAAATAACATTATTTAAAATGTCTCAAAAAATAAAAATTTCAATTATTTTAAGAGAAAATGAATTTCTTATATTTAATGAATCACCCTGTAGTATTTGTTAACTACAGTATTTCCTAAGTCTAAAAAGCGTAATTTGTTGAATATAATCAGGTAAATACTAATACAAATAATTACAATATCACAGCTATTAATAAATTCAAAAGTAAGAACCTAATAATTTATTATAAGTGGTTTAAACAAATTTCAACTTTTGAGTTCACAGCTCAACCACTTTTTAATATTATGTTGTACAAAGAATGTTAAAAGAATAAATACATTTTTTTTTTTTAATAATACCAATTTATCTAGTCAGCACGCGCTGAAGTAACTAGTTTAATAATGTAAAAATAATAACAATTTACTTGTTTTTTTTTTTATAAAGTTCGAAAGTGAAATATTGAATACATTGTAATTCAGTTTACTACCGTAGTGCTGCTTAAGAAATGACAGAGTTCCATAGCATATTAATGTGCCACGATAGATGACTGCTATTCGATCGCCAAGTTTAGTAGCTTCGTCCCAACTCTGAGTGGCCACGATTATTGTTTTTTTCCCCCTCATAGCCTATAATAGTTCGTATAAATTTGTTTAAACTGCTTCCGCATCAGCAATTATCAAGGGGTTTTATAATAAAACCCCTTGAATAAAACTTAAATAAAACTTTTATTTAAACAATAACTTATTCGCGTAACGCGTAGTGGAGTTTCGTTGAAATGACATGTTTTTGATAAAAAAAACGCTGGTGATGGAAGCCCCTTCTTAACTGTACATTTTTATATTATAAGACCATTACAATTATTTTATCTCGTAACTGCTTGGTTGATTCCGAGTCTACGTGTTCAGTAGGTTGATTGAGTATTAAAAACTCTGGATCTCCAATAAGTGATATTGCTAAACATAGTCTTTTTCTTATACCCAATGATAACATGCCCGGAGTGCAACTTGCTTGGTTTTGTAAATTCAAAAATGTAATTAAATTAAAAGTCTCATGTTTTGCTTTCTTCACGGTCATTCCCCTGAGCTGTACAATAATAATTAAGTATCAATAATGTAAATTAGTATTGAATGTTTTCAACTTTTATTCGAGTTTTCTAATCCTGTGGTGCTTACTATTGAAAAAAACATTAAGTGTTCCTTAACACTCAAACTGTTAAACAAGGCATTTACGTCTATAGAAAATCCGAGGAGTTGTTTAAATTTATTGGAGTATTGTAGAACGTTTGTTCCTTGTACAATTATTTTACCATAAGAAGCTTGAACCATGCCTGAAATGATAACACAAACACTTTTAATCTTACTTAAAAATATTATACGCAAATTAATAAACACAAAAAAAGTGTCTTATATAGCGTATCTCACCGGTTAAAATTTGTAATATTGTAATTACGTTTATTAAATTGGGACTCAATAACACAGTTATATGACCCATATATACGTTCATATGAAGACCTTTAATTATATTATGCAGTTTATTACGCTTGTGCAAATTTATAATTTTGATAGCTATTTTCATCCAAGGCAGTGGCTCATCGATAGACTTCATATTTTGTTTACTTTTTGAAAATAAAGCAATATTTTTCGGTTCACTGTCCTTCATTATCTAGAGAATATATACAATAATATATATTATGTATTCTTTTAAGATATTCCCTGCTAAATTATTTTAAAAATTAATATGTTAATTTATATTTTATCGTCAGCAAAAAATAATTGTATTAAACAAAAAAGAAAAAAATTCAAAATGTTATTAAAAATTAAATATTAACATTTTGAATTACATTTATTTAAAATTGATTGAAGACTGAAGTTAAAATGTGATATCAAGATTAGCGACTGCTTTTCCTACTATTTTCATGAAATGGACAAGAACAAGAAGCGATAGCGACCTCTGAAAATAAACCAAGATAGTGGAAGAGATACGTGGATGATAATCTATTCTTGGTACAGAAGGCCGTAGGAGAGAAGGCAAAAGCTCAAAAGGTTGTTGCAATGCCTAAACAACGTCCACTAGAACATCAAGATTACTATTAAGAAATTACAAATAACTGAAAATTCCCCTTTTTAGATGTAATGTTTTTTCGGGATGATAGTTTACTACCAAAAAGCAACAGATATAGATCGATGTCTAACTTCCCGCCACATCATTTTCCAAAACAAAAAACTGGAATTCTTCACTCCCTGGCCACGTGGGCGGTACAAAAAAAAACCGGGAGAAGAAAAACAACATCTGAAACAAAGACTATGCGCAAACGGTTATGTCAGAAGTAGACAACGCAATAAACAGAGCACAAAAAAAAGACGAGCAATAGATTGTCGCTAAAAGTCAAATGAAGAAGATGGTCCCAAAGGCACAATAGTTATACCATACGTAGATGGGTAACGGATCGCATAGCAAAGGAATGCACAAGGTGAGTAAACAGTAATTGTTTCTACAGTAATGAAATTATGGGAATTGTTCCGGAGCCCAAAAGATGCTGCACAGACATTACAAACGCCAGGGGTTTATGAAATCCAATGTCCCGGTCATTCGTACATAGTTCAGACAGAAGAACGATAGAAGTGCGCAAACAAGAACACGCGAAAGATTATTACTACAGAAGAACAAAAAGAAAGACAGTATAGTCGAATTTGCAGACCAAAAAGACCATATTTTAGAAGTATAAAAATGTTATCCAGAAAAACCTATTACGCAAAAAAAGGTAAGAGGCGCAATTGAAATAAAAAAGTGCCGACTAAATTTTAATAAAGAAGATAGATGGAAACTGAGCAAGACGTGAAAAAACAGTTATGAGCCAATTAAGAAAAAGTTGGAAAAGTTCACTTTTTTTACAGTTAAAATTTGGAAAAACAAAAAAAAAACCATATTAGTTTTAAAGTTTTAACTTTTACTGGCTCTCATTTCGAGAAAAAAGGTCGGATCGGGTTGAAATTTATAAGGAATAATTTTAGGACCTTTTAGTTGAAAATTTGTCATTATTATTTATTTGAATTTTATTAATACATATTATAACAGTGTTTTTCTTAAAAAATTAAGAATTTTTTATTAGGTTTCAACGAAGTTATTTTTTTTTACTTCTATTTGTAGGGATCATTTACATTTTTATACAAAATTTAACAATAAAAAAGCCATTATAGTGGGGTTGAGGCACAGTGGTGTCAAAGCATAGTGGGGGGACGGGTAGTTCAGGTTTACAGGAATCAAGCTACAGCTTTGATGCGAATCAATAGTTCGTATTATCAAATCAGTTATGTCCAAACCAAGCACGGTATAAACGAGCATAGTAAGGAAGTATTAAAGTGAGGTGCAGTGTTTAAAAATTAGCATCAAAGTGTTTATTTGAAAATGATTTTATCCGTGTAAGCCGCCAGTAGAGTGGGGTCGAGGCATAATGAGATCAAATCATGGTGGGGACGGAGAGGTCACAGGTCTACATGAATTAAACCGATAAAACCTTACCTACCTTACCTTATCAACTTTACCCCCCCTCCCCCAAGTGCCAACTAGATGAAATCTGTGATTTATAGATTTGCTACTCTAAGGAATTGGTCCAGTATTAAAAAAGCTACAGTGTATATAGACACAAAAAAAGCTCACATTATTGTAAAACCATCAGCATCGGAGCTCCGCATCGAGATAAAAACGAATATAAATCTGAATGGAATTCAAAACAATTATAAGTATGTAATTAAATCTAGTTGAAGTAGTGTTACTGGACACCCTCTTCTTTCACGTTTTCCTGTCATTGTATTATATTTTTTTTTCAAATTTACTTATTGTAACTAATATTACAGATTGTAAATATATTTTTAATAAAAAAAAAAAATCTTAATGAACTCTAAAAAATTGGAAAAATTGAGATACTACCTTTTTCGTTGAGGGTATCGAAATTATTCACTATTTATGTATTTATACATGAACTATAGGGTGTAGTATGACTACCAGTGCTTATATACATTAAATTCACATTTACTTTGTAACTCCAAAATGAATATCTTGATTCAACCAACCAAATAATACAAATGTAAACAATAATACTCATTAACAATGTTACCATTGTATGACCTACGACGTCCAATGTTTCATTTTCAATAAATGACTCTTTCAAGTTAAAGCCATAGTCTAAATGAAATAATAAAATGTAATTAATTAAACAAATTGGTCATTATGTAATGAAACAAAGTCTTTGGTTATTGGGATTGTATTATATCGGCGATGATTTATAAAAATGCGTGTTATAAAATATACATGATAATACATACATATTATACATAATAAGTTGATTTACTGCTCACCACGTTACAAATAATTTAAATGTAAAATATAAAAGGAGAAAAAATGAGAGCGAACAAGTTAAGAGAAGTTATAGTGGCATAATACTCGTAGCAGAGTTCAAATAGAGATAGAATATGAGTAATATTTAAAATGTTATTTATGTTTGGGAATTTTCCAGCTTGACTTTGAAAAATATTATATTTTACCCTATTTCTAAGGTTGTCTAAAAGTCGTCACTGTGTTTAACTAAGTAGACAAGGACCGCTTGTGTACCATTATGTCGACAGATTTAATTGTGTCGGGATACTGTTGGTATCGCCTATCGGACAATCGAACATATGAATTTTATAGGCTACTGGATTTCGAACATCAAACAATATATTATAAACTACACACCTTTATTACAAACAAATAAATATACCTTAATATTAGCATTGTATTGGTATGATATTATGTAATCTCATGACTCATCTATATTTAATGTTTATAAGTTATTCCATTCTCAAGACTGGTTTTCAATGAAAATGGTACTACTAGCGCCAATCCCGTGTCGTCATACAGAGCTAAAATTTACTTATCTCGGTGGGCCATCAACAATATTTATAAATTATATAATCAATGGTATTATCTTTACAAAGTTATAGAAAACGAACAAATTGATAAAAATTAAAAATTCAAACGCTAAAATGTTTTAACATTTTTTTATCGACATATTTATGGAATTAAAAACAGTATATTCCTATTTTATTCCTATTGGGAAAACCGAAGTCCACGTTTGTTTTCGTATATGGGATAAAGATAAACATTTTCAAAGTAATGAAAAATATAGTAAATATCTAAGACCTAGCTTCGTCCCCTTATATAATAAAATGAATCGTGTAATGTTCGTGGGAGATATTTTTATTTCATTTTTTTTAGTCTATTACTATATTATTATATTTATATTTGGTATTTAGGTACGAATCATTTTGCTTACGATTATTTTCTTGAATAAACAATGCTTCTAAAGCAAATTGAAATGCAATTGTTGGGCTAATTACAAGCCAATAGACGTGTGATGATAGGTATGCAATTTTACTTGGATTGGCCTCTAAATTATTATACAGTATAAAGGGTATAGTCCAACAAATAATGCCAAAAAATATGCTGCGATTTCCTAAAAATTACGATGTTTAGTGACAAAAAACAATATGATAATCAAATTATATTACGGCTTTCAGACATGGAGCAAATGACCAAATTGCTTAGTACATCAGCCATGACATAAATAATAAAGAAACACCATATTGAAAAAGGTTCTGATGTGCGCAGAACTGGTGAGTGATCCAGGATAGTAGGGTGTTCAAAGTACAAAATATACACAATACCCGTTACTAAAATACCATATTCAATACATACACAAATAAACCAATTCATGTAGAACATCCATTTTTCCATATTTAATGCACATGCGTATTCCTTTGGATAGTAAATACAACAGGTATTCCGGTTAATTAGTTTTACTAACTTACCACATTTCAATTTGATTTAGTTCTTTTCAATTTACTATAACACCAGTTTGTTTTTCTTTGTAAACTAAGTAAATACACACAATGCGCAAGGCAAAAAACGCAATGACAATTGCACGGGACATTTCAATTCCGTCCACATAGTTTGAATGTGGTAAGGGGCGCACAGGATAAGGAAATGGCCTAATATTTACCTAAAAATATTTTAAAATCGTATACTAGGTACAACAACATTTATGTCATTGATTAATAAGACGAAATAGTAACCAATAAACATTAAAAAGCAAGTGTCATACTATCTAGAAAGATATTACGTAATAAATTATTATAATACTTTGGAAATGCTTCTATTATTAGCAACCATGCTTATGAATGACTTATCAATAGCTAATTCCAGTCCAGCGTAACCAGTTTTCCAATATACAAACTCTAGAAATAGAAAATATAATATAAATACTTATCATTAAATAATATTTATATAGCTGATCATTATAGACTACCTTCCCATGAAGCAGGCATAGTGTAGTGATTAAAATTAATTTCTTTTAAATGTTGCTGACCCTCAAATGTTAAATAGACGTTGTCTAAATATCGAATTGAATAAACTAAATTCGTTGAATTTTCATTATGTTCATTGTTAGTATGGAATTGTATGAAAATAATTTCAATTTTATTTTTCATTTTCCGAATTAGCGATCTTAACTGCAGTTTGTCTCCCATTGGGACAATGGATACATCTTGCAAACAGAAAAGTCAGTTAAGGTAAAATATTAAATACGACATAATATGGTTTACCCACCTTTTTTTGCAATGTTTAAAGTGGTTCCGACACATCTCATTAATTTTTCGCACCATTTATTATTTGGAGTATAAGTAATGTAAATGGAGTTATTGGAAAAAGTATGAGAAAATAAGAACTCTTCAGAAATAAATTTACTTAAAGCACTATGGTTTGTAACAGAGTTTTCTTGATATAATACGTCATTAAAACTTAAAAATGTAAAAATATAAATTATTGGAAGCAATATTTCCAGTGAAGATAATGTCATATTATTGAGTCGAAAACATAAGCTCTTCCATGCTAATAAACCTAATTTAAATTTAAACGACCTTTGTCCAATATTCATCATTATAATCTGGAATATAAGAAATTATTAATGACATTTTTTTCGAAACACTCAATATTTACTAATTTATTAATGCATCAAAATTATCTTGTTAATGTCTAAGCCCAAGGTTAGGACTTACGAGGCCGATGCTATGTGTACAAGTATTTCCAAACGGAGTTTGATAAAGTAAACCATACGTAGGTTGTTGCACTACAAATTAAAAGCATTTGGAATCGGTGGTATTTTTTTAAAAATCAACTATCGATTTACCAGTGTCAAGATATGCAGTGCTTCTGGAGTTCCTTAAGGATCTTATTAAAGAATTAGATCATATTTTTAATACTTATAAATGATTTGACTCTAATCCTCGATAGGTCTATAAAAATACTTTTATTTACGAATGATGTGAAAATGTACCACAACATTAAATCTCACAATGATACACACTTGCGTGTGCCCTCCAGCCTATGTTTCAGTATGCTGTAGCAATTAACTCTAAAAATAATTATTAAAAACTAGGTTAGTTCAAAACTAGGTTAGTGACATGTGGATCGACTAAGTATTTAAAATAGAAAAATGGCTAGACACATTTATCTAAACAGGTCTGGAATCGGCATTGGACGCTCAATATACTTTATTAACCTGATAAATAATGGATTTTAAAAAATAAATCATTTTATTGTTAAAATGTATGACATATGGTCGCCTAGTTTCAAAACCAGCTATACAATTTTTGAAAACTTTCACAAAACAACAAATAATTTCTTTAGATAGAACCAACCAAGATTTTCAAACAAACACAGTTTGAATTAGTTATATTCTTTACTTGATATTCAATAACAGTTATACATAACAAGTATTACATTATGGTCACTTAAAAAACAAACACATTGTCAAAATGTCTTAGGGCTGGTTTTCAAACTAGATGTCTCATATATGAATTATATGTGAGGTTTAGGAATTCAAGCTATTATTGATTTTATTATTTTTAAAGAAAATTGACATATCAACTAAGAATAAATATAGATGGTAGCTTAATGAATAAGATGGTAGTAGGCAACATTGATAAAAGTATGTTGTTGATTGGAGTTGGATAGAACTAAACGGTTTTGCAAATACCACGACAAAAGTCCAAACAAAGGAATTAATTAATATTATTTTCGTTTGGCGAATATCAATATATATAGACATTGCCAGCAATATATAATAAAGTTATTTTGGCACACCTTATATTATCCCGATGTCGATTATTTTTGGCTAACTAGGTTTTTAAATACCTGCAAATCAAGGCCAAGTACTACTTGTTTACGACCTCGACATTAGACTTATAATAGAAACAAATGAGTATATTCGATATATTTTTAATCTACTTTATTCTTAAGTTGAGATCTTTAAGAACATATAATGATGTTAGATGTATAGGTACATAGTTTTTACATCATTCATAGGCATGTCTACACATATGACACAATCTATAAATGATAATCACATTAGTCCAAAGAACATATGATAACAAGACTAAGGAGGTATTATTCATATATTTTTATTACCTACTATACATACAGTATACACCTTAAATTTTTCTGGGTTACCTAGAAGGGCGAGGTGGTTTGTGGATAGAGTTCGGCGAGAAGAAAATGTAAGGCAAATTATAACTGATAGAAATATTAGTACGTTTGGAATTTCGATTCAGGGATGTTGAAGTTGAAACTTATCAGAGATTGTTAGAACACTACGAACACTAGAGCTACAACTAAGAATATATCGGTGAGGGTGCAAGAAAATTTGATGCTGCCCAGTTAGGAAAGTACTGGCCCTCAGGAACCCCGGGAAATTCCAGGTGAGCCAGCGCCTAATGTGGCCACACTGGTCATTAAAACCATAGGAGTATAAATTTAAAATAAAACTAAAAAATAGAAATAAGTTTATTAAATATATTTTATATTAGTCTATACACATAAATATTGGTAAATTAATTTTTTTATTTATGAAATGGTCTTAAAAAATTATAAAAGCCATTTGTTATAACTCATAATATAATCCAAATTATAATTAAATTTACATCAATATACAAATTCGCATAGTATAAATTGTATAAGCAAATTGTACAGTTAAGTTTTACTTCAAAAAGTTTTTTTTCCTTGCCATTTGGTATGCAAAATTATAAATAACTTTATCAATATCTAATACACTGGTACAAGCTCTTTCATTGTTCAATATATAATCAGAAGGGAAACTTTAAAAAAACTACATTGTTTTTCTTATGCGCCGTCGAAAAAGGCTGACTGTCATATTGTTTTTGCAACTGGGAACCAAATTATAATAGATGGACTAGATAATTTCTGGAATAAGCTTGATAATTCTTACAATTTATACATAATTGGAAAAAAAAAATTGTCGGATACTTCCGGTTATTCTGTATTTCCAGTACTGAGTACAATATTATCAATCGAAAAATAATTTATAACTAAAACTAGAGGTATATGTATAAATAAAACCTATACTTACAGTGTATAAACAGTGTCTATATATGTGTTAATTCCATAAACACATATCACTTGACAGCTATTACATATTTTACAAATGAGTAATGACAATATATGATTTATGCCAAAAAAAGTAGTCATTTTTACTATTTATTATTGAATTGGTTGTTAAGTAATCTGTTTGCCATCTGTTAATATAATAATATGTACGCAGAAGGAAACATCTAATATGGTAATTGGTAACACTGAAAGTTTTCTTCTAAGTCAATGTTTTGGAAAATTTTTAATTTATATTTTGAACAAAATTTTAAGCTGAAAATTAGGATATTAGGGCATAAAATAGTAAGTAAATATTTTGACGATTATTTAATGATAATTGAAAAAGTAATACTAAAATAATCATAATCTATCATGCACTGAATATTATGTTGATACGTTTACAGTTTCGCATGTTCAATATTGATAACACACGAATCGTACTCGTAGGCTGTAGTGTAAAAGTGTCAAATCAAACAAATCACAAATGTCAATTTGTTAAAATTGCTTAACCAATAATGCAGATTTTATGTGTTTTAGTTCACTTATTACGTTTATAGTTTCAAATATTTAGAAACTACGGTTGTTTAGTTTTATGTTAAGTTGTTCCATTTTGTTTTTCCTTTGTGGTAGTAATTGTGGTATTATGGTTGTGTATAGTTTTATTTTGACAGTAAATGTAAACATTGCTAATTTTTATCAACATCTAAACATTTAGTTAAAACATTCATGATTAATCGTTGTTAATCATAGTAAGACGTGAGTACGATCTTTGAAGCAATAGCAAATAAACACACAAATGGCCAGTATTATTGAGCAAACTCCAATTTCTGCTCTAAACTCTAGTGATTTGTTAGAAAAGGATCAAACGGAAAAAAATGTTAAGAAGAAAGATTACTCCAGCACTCGAGGCAAGGTAATATTTGGTATAGGTATTAAATTATCAAACAATCAACATAAAAATAATCTTCGGTATTCTATATATATATATATATATATATATATATATATTCTCTTCTTGCAGTTAAGTTTAGTTAGTCCATCTGAAGAGCAGTTCGAAACATTGGAACAGAAACTCAAAGATTTATTAGAAGATGGTCACGGGGAAACTATATTTGACATAGGTATTGGAGATGATGGAAGTGGTTTAACCAATGATGAATGTGAAGCATCTGTGGCTACATTACACTCATTAGCTGCAACACAAGAAGCAGACTGTGTTCTTCTTAGGGAAAAGAATGACAATGGGTTAACTGCACAATACCTAGTCCGTAAACGATTAGAATCTCAAGACTTCCTTGAAATAAGGTAATAACTAATATTAAATTACCAAGTAATTTAATATTAGTTATTAACTATTAAGTTACTTGGTCCATTTTAATATTATTAAAAATCAAATTATTTATTGTTATATGTAGACAAATTATACTTATAGTTTCATGACATTTAGAATTTTAAACCTTTGTTAAAATAGTTAACGTTTTACATTACGGCGTTCTTGCACTAGTATATTACAAATTAATAATTATTTTTTTTGTTTAATATAAAAATACATTTTATATGTGTAGTGTAGCTGTATACAAAAACTTGTATAAACAAATGTTTTCATTAACCAATTTTTTTTTCAGGGTGGCGGTTGTAGGTAATGTTGATGCTGGCAAATCGACCTTATTAGGTGTTTTAACTCACGGTGAATTAGACAACGGTCGTGGGCATGCTAGATTAAAGTTATTCCGACACAAACATGAAATGGAATCAGGTCGTACAAGTTCAGTAGGCAATGATATTCTTGGTTTTGATAGTACTGGAAAAGTAGTAAATAGACCTGAACACGGATCTTTAGATTGGGTAAAAATATGTGAAAAATCCACCAAAGTTATTACTTTTATTGACTTAGCTGGTCATGAACGTTATCTGAAAACTACTGTGTTTGGTATGACTGGACATATGCCAGATTTTGGCATGCTTATGGTAAGTAAAACCATTGAGTGAATATCTGTACTTATTATACAACTGTACAACAACTAACAATAAGTATTTATTATTAATTTTAGTTAAACTTATTTATATTTTTTTATTAGATTGGAGCCAATGCAGGTATAATTGGAATGACCAAAGAACATTTAGGCTTAGCACTAGCCCTTAGTGTTCCAGTATTTGTGGTCGTTACGAAAATTGACATGTGCCCTCCAAATATTCTCCAAGATACTTTACGATTACTGGTTCGTATACTCAAGTCTCCTGGCTGTAGAAAAGTGCCAGTTATGGTTAAAACAAAAGACGACGTTATTGTTAGTGCTACTAATTTTGTATCTCAAAGGTTGCTAGATTTTGAAAATTAAAAATACTTATTTCAAATTAAAATTAAATTAATTATATTTTAACTAATTTTACAGGCTTTGCCCAATATTTCAAGTTTCTAATGTAAATGGTGAAAATTTAGATTTACTAAAAATGTTTTTAAATCTTTTGACTACTAGAGTCATGACCACTGATGATGAACCGGCAGAATTTCAAATTGATGATACATATTCTGTGCCAGTATGTTTGTAGATATTTATTGTTTTTGATAATTGTTTATTATTATAACTTTTTATATTTATATTGTAGGGTGTTGGTACAGTTGTTTCTGGTACAACGCTTAGAGGAACAATTCGTTTAAATGATACTTTGATGCTTGGACCTGATCCCGTTGGTCAATTTATAGCTATTACAGTTAAAAGTATTCACCGCAAAAGAATGGTTGTTCGTGAAGTCAAAGCGGGTCAAACAGCATCCTTCGCATTAAAAAAAATTAAACGGTCCCAAATTCGGAAAGGAATGGTAATGGTTTCTCCAGCCCTAAACCCATCAGCCACATGGGAGTTTGATGGAGAGATTCTTGTTTTACATCATCCAACAACTATAAGTTCACGCTACCAAGCAATGGGTATTTTTCAAAATTTGTTGGTTATAACTAATTCTTCATTTTAATTGTATGTATTCACTATAGTTCATTGTGGCAGTATTCGCCAAACAGCATCCATATTAAGTATGTCAGAAGATTGCTTAAGGACAGGAGATAAAGCAAAAGTGAGATTTAGGTTTATAAAATACCCTGAATACTTAAGACCGGGACAAAGATTAGTGTTCAGAGAAGGTAGAACAAAAGCAGTAGGCAATGTTTTATCTGTCCCACCACCTACAGGACAAGTAGGTGCTAGACAGTCACAAAAGCCTCAAAAGTTCAATTCCAGAGGGCAAGGCCAGGTATTGAAATCATAATAAATAGATAATTTTTATTGTAATACAAGTAAACTTTATTTTATTTTATTTTCATATTTTAGATTGTTGGAGAAAATGATAATCACCAAAATTATAAGGGAAGAAGAAGAGGTGGTCAGAAGCCTTTAGCTGAACAGAATACTAGAATTGTTGAAAATTCATAGTACAATATTTTTACAGATAAAATAAACTAATTTGTATTTTATTGTTTTTGTTAAATGGTTTGTATATTTTTTTAGATTATAACTACTTAAAAAAAAACATATAACATGTTCTCCAGTCTCGACATAATTGTAAAGATAAAATGTTTTTAATTTAACAAAAAAGTGTTGTGTGTTATATTATTATTGTTAATCAATTTTATCTTTATGATATTATTTCTTGATTTATGTCTTAAAAAATCATTACATCTTCAGTGTAAAAAAAAACTATTTTTTTAATTTATAATGTTAAGAATCTGAAATTTTTACATAATGCTGGATCCAAATTTTTTTTAACTTGCGTGGTTGCATTCTCAAAAAAAATGTGCCACATTAAATAAGTCTATTGAGTTTGGATTCACCCAAATATAAACATGTTAATGTAACTTAAAACTGTATGTATAACAAGAAATTTATTGCAAAAATTGTTAAGAATACGTTTTTATACATAGTTTATTGTCATATTGTTAATGCATATAAATTATTTTACTCTAAGAGATGTTAATAAAATTGTAAGGTAAATCTTTATAATAAAGAAAAAATTTATAAGGTGTATTTCATAAGTACTTAAATAATAGGTGTACTTGAATTATATCTTGGCATACTAAACAATAACTCATTTTTCCAATTATCAATGAAGGTTAATTACAAATACATTAAATTATTTAGTTATAAATACGAGTAGTATTTTTAATCATTGGTAATAATAAAACTAACATATAGTAAATAGAGTATAAATTATGTTATTTTGCATAACAATATAATGTTATTATTCATCAGTTCACTGTTTAGTAGTTCACTCATTTATATAATTGTTTATAACTATTAACAATGTTCTATGGGTATTTGTAATCTTAAAAGGAGTTATTATGTATAGGTATATAATTATATAGGTACAAACTTGCGTACAAATATACAACACATATTTTTTTTCAAGTTATCGTCATATACTATAAAAAAACATTAAATAATATACCGTTAGGCTGTGAAACTAATTATTAATTAAGTAAAATATACAATTATTAAAAAATTTCTAGACCAGCTATATAATTTATCGGGTTTAAAAAGGATGCGCATGCTTCTCACCTACCTTAAATTATAAGACTCAAAACATATAATAATAAAACAGTTTTGTACTAGTCAGAGTCCCACTCTACATCATTTTACCTAAAAACATTTTCAGTAATTTTTAAAATAATGATTTTTATACGTTGTGTAGGCACTAGGGACATTCGACAAATGGGGCTTATAAAATAATAATATTTGAAAGTGAATGTTTCCAATAAAACGTTTGAATTTATGATACAAACAAAGCAGATAAATATTTTTCAGTGGATATATAGGTAAATAAATAGACTTGCATCACTTTTCTGGTACTTCGGCATTCCAGATTTCCAAGGCTATTTTTATGATAACTATAACAATTAATTAAAAGAAATCATAAACTAGACATTATTCAATATTCAGACAATTTTATACAAAATCACTTTATTCAACAGACAGCAGACATGTTAAATGTAAAATGTTATTTCATTCTTTGATACTGCCTGACTCGTTCGTCGGATGTGATGACTGACGAATATTTTTCTTATGACGTGATACGTGATTAATGTATTTTAACTCGTTAGACATTATAATTAATAAAATATTAACATGTGTAATTTGTGTATTTAATATTCGTATAGTATACACACGGGACATACAAACTTAGGTTATTTTTAAGAGATAATAATTGGAAAGCTAAAGCTTGTATTAGCTATATAATGAAATAAAAACAGTTTATTTGTGGTTAAATTTAATATTTTAAGCATAGTCTCTATAGAAAGTTGTTTTATAACTTTTATCATATTTTTTGGGGGGTTTACTTGATTTTATGGGTGGACATTTTCATATAATTTTTAAACTTATTGTTAGTATACCCCCTAACCCTAGGTTTTACTTTCCCTATCACGATTTTTTATAGGTACCTTTCCTATCAGTATAAAATATACAATGTATTTTTGTTACCTAAAGAAAAGTTTTTAAATGAATATAGTAGGTATAATTTAATGATAGGTACCTTATTATTCTTACTTTGTTTTAAACTATATCACGATTCATGGAATAGTTTAGAACAAGCATTTTCTAAATAAACTAAAGGAACAATGGTTATAACTATTTTAAATAGTATATTTAATACATAATTATTTTAAAAAACTTGAAGTAAATAATGTAGAAAACATTGTTTAAATCGGTTATGATTTTGGCTGTATAATTATAATTTTAAAAACATAAAGCTTTCCTTTAATATTGATATGTACCTATTATTCTTAAAATAAAATATTAATGGTTAATTGGATAATTATTCTTAAAATGATTTAAGTTTAAAGTTTGGGATGGGTGGTGAGTTGTATTATTTTTATCTGTGCACATTACTCAAACACACTTCCCCTTCCGTCCTAACTTTTAAACTTTAATAACCTTAAAATAATTATCCAAAACTAGTTAGCGACCGGTCAACATTTTTAGTAAATTATTCTTAATTAAAAAAGTTAATAAAATATATGGGTACGTTATCATTTAAGAATTTCGGAGGGGGGTTAAAAACAAAAAGTTTGTGAAAAATTGAGATGCTATTGTATAAATCACTGCGGGGAAAAAAATAAAATAAAATCCTATGAGACATCGATTGGATAACTTAAAAAAAATCACCCTGTATACGTGTTAACTACATGAGGTTTACTTGATATTTTTTAGTACAACGAAATAATATTGTGAAACTCAATTTTTACAAGACTGTTTGTTAAAAGATAAGATTTTATTATTTATCTTGTGCTCGAAATTCCTCGCTTTGTTCTGTGCGCATTATACTAGTAAGTATTAACGCACTATGAGTAATCATTAGTTGGTACCTAGTCGTTATAATATACGTGAAAATTATTGTAGTTTTATTCGAGGTATTTTACGTGTGTACTAAATTAGTGTTGATTTAATTACACGGCGGCATTATGTCTTCCAGGCCGACCCAGGAATTATTCATTAGTATTTTAATAATCGCAATTCTAATACGCAACGTGGTCAGTGACGGTACACAGTTATGCGATACGTGCACTTGTACTGACTTTTCGGTCAACTGTTCGGACAAAGGTCAAATTGAAATATTAAACTTATGGAACCACGAAGTAGCGCTGAGCGAGGCTGTAATAATACATTTCGACTACAACAATATCGTCCACGTCCAACAGCTGCCACCTTCTAAAGTGAAGTATTTGTCGCTTCAGCACAATCGCATATCCAAAATTGACGATTTCGCCTTTGCAAACTTGCACTCTCTCATAGACCTCGATCTTAGCTATAACGCTTTGACTCCCGACACTTTAGATTCGAACATCTTCAAGGTGAGTTTACTCAGGGTTGCTTCGCTCGGAACATTAAGTTATAACTTGTACACGTTTTTAATCTAACGAACAACCAAAACTTCATTTACAGACAAACCAAGAAGCCGAATCGACATTTCACACGTCTTTGAAGCATTTAAATTTGAACAACAACGGACTTCATTCTCTACGGGCGAATACGTTCAAAGATCTCAGCACGCTATCGTCTTTGACGCTCGCGGGAAATCCGTTTAAAGTCATAGACCGATCAACCAGTTTTGCACTATCATCGCTTCCTTTCTTGAAAGTATTGTTTTATTAAGATTCAATTTTTAAAATCGATTTGATTTGTTCCACATTCGAATGATTGCATCATTTTCCTAGAATTTGGATTTGACAGATACATCGTTGGAAAATCTTCCTGAACACTTTTTACATACACCTCGATATCTAGAGTCATTAAATTTATCGAAAAATATGTTTAATCATGTTCCACGAGAGTTGGCAGAAGCACACATGTTACGCAGACTGGATTTAAGCTATAACCCAATTCAAAACATCTCGTTAGTATATCAACTCAATGACCAATACTTGTAAAATTTACAGAAATTACTAAAAATTCAAAACGCTTATAAAAAAATCTATGTCATAGAAATTTTCCAAAAATGTCTTGGTTAAAGATACTTCATTTATCGCACATGCCAAATTTGAACACTATCGATGAACATGCCTTTAGTCTTCTTACAAATTTAGAAGAATTTTACTGTTCCCACAACCTTCAATTACATTCGATTGCGCCCAATGCATTTAGTTACGAAGCCCACGATGGGTCGGAGGGAGAACAATGGCCACACATTGTCAAAGTAATAATATATTTTTTTTTTATATATCATATCACACACACGTGTCTAACTATAGGTATTTCGATTAAAACCTAAAAGCGTTAATCGTGACCACGGATTCTATGTACCTAATTATGAGATTTCTTTTCAGTTATATTTAAACCACAATTCTTTAGGATATCTGGATAGTCGTCTGCTAAGTAGGTGGGATACGTTGCAAGACCTAAATTTACAGGGGAATAAATGGATATGTGATTGTGAAAACCAGTGGCTTGTTTCAACTCTAGCACCTATGGTAGAAGCAAGACATGCCGAATTTCTTAAAGATTTTACGTAAATAGCTACCACTTGACATATTTTAAATATTATCGGTGGAAAACGTTGGTTCTAATTGATTTTCAGTTGCCAAGAACCCATAGAAATGAGAGGAGTGTCAATTCTGGACCTTGATCACCGACATTACCATTTGCGGTGTTTGGACTTCTATAACCATCGACCGGAAAGAGATGGTGTACTACTCGTGGGCATACTAATTGGAGTTATACTTTCTGTACCTTTTACAATGGCATTTATGATGTACTGTGCACGGAAGAAAAATTCACTATCGTACTATCATAGAATGTTAAATTTCAAAGGTCCTCTTCCACATGAATTTCAGTTAAGGTGATTATTTATAATTATTCTTGGCGTACAACTATTAGTTGAATACTTTTTGCTCTATTGTCCGAGTTGGATGTTAACACTTAAGTACCTACACAGAAACCTTTGAAAGCTAAAAAAAACTCAAAATGAGTTACACCCGATAAGGTTACGGGGTTTTAAGTTTAATAATGTTTATTTTACGTGCTATATAAATGTGTGTAATACGCATGTGTACGTTAATGTATACACCGATGCAGCAGTTTTCTATGACAGTCAATTTCTCAAGGCTATAATGTAACAATACGGACGTGATATTTACTCATCGTCAGTGAATCATAGTTACCACAAAGCAATTAGACATTTAGGTAACCAATAAAGATTTTTACGAAAGTAATTGACTGACAAATAGGTTTAAATATATAGTCAGTTTTCAAATAGGTAAGATAGGTATTTATAAAGCGAGATAAACTCGCTTGCATAAACAGACCAAAAAAAATGTATATATTTGCAAAATACATAATAGAATACTCCAGACTCAACTGCTTTTATAAATTATTATTTATTTTAGTCTAAATAATTTTTAACATTTTCAGAGTTTTACTGGCATAGAATATTATAGAACATAATCCAGAAATAAAATTGTTCTGTATTATCTCGATACATTTTATATTTTTAATAATACTAGTTATTAATATTTGATTACGTTCTATAAAACGTATATGCTGTATAAAAACTTAATCGAACTTTATTGTTATAGAGAGACACCAGTATATCAACCAACATCAATAAACGTCGATGGATACTAATTCTCAATTATACAAGTTATAAATAGTATTTGAGCAGCAAACTCAAACATGTTATTATAACCTGAAAACACAATTAATTAATAAATATCTTATTTAGATTTAACGAAAAGCTAAAAAATATTGTTTTTCGATTTTTAGTATTTGTAATTATTAGTGATTCTTCATGCATGTATCATATAGGTACATAAATATTTATCGAAAGCCGGCCTATACCATCATTTATTAGTAATCCGTTGTTTATTTATTATGTTAATTTCTTATTATTTGTTTGTACATATTAATAGTGATAATTATACTTTGGGGATTTGTGATATTTTTTATGATTTACTTATGCTTTCCTAAATTTTGGTTCTTATGAAAAAAATCCCATCTAAGGATTTATTAGTTTTTGGTTAGTCTTGGATATCCGGAATATAGGTATTTACTTATGGGACATACGTATAGTATATTATACACATTTTTCAATGGACACGCCAATCATAATCAATTAATAGGTACTGTTAAATATATAACACATACGAGTATGTATATTTTTGTATTTAAATATGTTATATAAAAGACAATAATATTATACATATTGTAGAAAAATAATTACAAATTTGTAAATGTATTAATTAGCAGCAACTAGGTGTTTATTTCGTTAGGCGTACTATCGGCATATTGGCCCCAGATCAGACAGAATGTTTTTCTATAGCTTTAGCGTACATATTATTTAGCTTTTGTTAAGAATCAAATAAAAAATACTTACCACTGTTACTATAAGCGACAAAATTGACATTTTTCGTTTACCAGGCAAGTAAGTATTAATTAGTGTTCCCTAATTTGATTTTCTAACCCTTCATTCCATTCTGTTTCCTCTTATACTTTTATTCGAAACTCTTAATTCAACAACTCATTAAAATATCGTTTCTGTCTCATATCATAATCTCTTGTCTATAATAATGATGTCGTATACGATTTTACGTACCACTAGCGGGTAATATTTAACCTATTTTGGTTACGTCAACTGAATAGAGTTATTATGGTTTAATAGTATTTTTATGGTGTTATTTAAAATCTATTAAAAGTCCCTTAATTAGTACAGTATTATTTATAACAACGCATACTGTATAGTTATATATATATAACTATATATATATTATAAAGAACGTTGGTGGTTAGCTACACTGCCGTATTAAAAATCCTTATAATGACGTAACGGGGTCGATTTAAAAAAAAAATATATTCAGTAAAACTACTTACAAAAAATGATTTCCTGAAACTATATGGTTTTATTGTTGAAAATCCGAACAAATATATTTATAAGTTTTATTTTACTAATGCTTGGCATGTTTAATTATACCCCTTTTCTTTGATCTCCAAATAGATTCTTTTAACAGACTATAGTATAAAATATAAAATATATTTTCTTATACTATTCTCAAAATTACATCGAAGCATTATTTCAACTTTACTGCGCTAGCTTCTTAGACCTTAGTTCTTACCGCGTTGGTTAACAATTAAAGTTTCGTTTATAACCGTAAATCGAAACGTCTTAAAAAATTATTAAGCATTACACCGAAATACGCTTATACCCTAGTGTATATTTTTTTGTGCTTACACATTTTTTTAAATATTTTATTCTTATTACTAGGTATGCAACCACAAGATACACAACAGACTATATCTTCGCACTAAGACAAATAATGTCAAAATATTACGAATTTGAAAAGGAACTAAACTTGCATTTGGTTTTTGTGGATTACAAGCAGGCATATGTTAGTGTAGACAGAGAAGAGCTTTGGAAGACAATGGTAATTTTGGGAATACCCAAAAGATATGTGAACTTATGCTACGGGAAAACATTTTGCAGAGTGTGCTATTTGCAAGGCATCTCAGAAGAAGCTGGATATAAACACAAGTTTTGTATTATAATATTATGTTAAAAGTTAATTTTAAAGAAAATGTTGGTTAACGCTAATAGGTTGGGATTCAAACAATTCTATACCTAATCCAAAGTAGGGTATCCACTAGGAAACTTAAATACGTTCCCTGCACAAATTCTGCTTATTCGAGGGACGTCACAAATTTGTACATATTTAAGATGTTTAATTTAGAGTTTTGTTGCACTATATATATATATATATTTATATATTTCGTTTTAAACCCGATTACAGCAACTTGAAGCGTATATTATAAACAAAAACAATACTGTTTTATATTGTGTATGGGTAAATATAACTATTTTAAACATTAATTTGAAATTAATATATATTTATTATACGTCATCAACTGAGGATATAATCAAATGTAAATTAATTTTATGCAGATTTAATAGCGTACCTACTAGTTTTAAAATGCGTAATTGACACTAATCGTATTTTCCCGACATTAAATGTATTATGGGTCTGGAAAATCTAAAAAAATGCATTAGAATATTATGAAATGTTGGCCGTGACTAGCAAATTAGTGGAAGGGCGAAAGTATTTAACAAAGGATTTTGTTGAAATCTATCCATCTGTGTACCTATATAGCAGTTAGTGATCAAGCGGTAAATATAAATATATATATATATATATATGTGTGTGTGATTATTGAATGTTACGATATTATTTTGTTCGCGGCTACTAATGATATTATATTTAGTAACGAGTTTCGGAACTATATCGTAAACTATTAATTTTTAGTGGAATTCACTTCTTTATAGTGTTTGTAATAGTTGTACAATAGAGGGACTTGTTTTACAGTGGTTTTCTTTCGTAAAAAAATGTTTTATATTTTCTGTTGGATAGTATTTTTGGTTTCAAATTCTGAATCAACGGATTCTGAACATAATGAAATTTGGCAATTCAGTGATGACCATGCCCACGTTCTTCCTCAAAGTTACGACTTTGTGGTAGTAGGTGCTGGTAGCGCGGGAGCCGTGGTAGCTAACAGACTGTCGGAAGTAAATTTCCGTTGTTTTAATATAATATGATTGTAGAAAGTTAAAATCCACAATTTATTTGAGCACGGCTTGATATATTTTTTTTAAGGTGAGTGACTGGAAGATATTGTTGATTGAAGCTGGCCACGATGCAAATTATTTTATGGATTTACCAGCAGGAGCCGGAATATTACAAACGACGGCAATTAACTGGAAGTATAAAACGGTGCCAATGAACAATTCATGTTTAGGTAAAAATCGTATGTTCCACTACTAAACTATGGCATAAAAAATACCGATGTTTATACATTTTAGGATTTGAAGAAAAGCGATGCAAGTTTCCTAGAGGAAAAGTGATGGGCGGATGTAGCATTTTGAACTATATGATATACACCAGAGGTAATTGGAGGGATTACGATAATTGGGAAAAAATGGGCAATCCTGGTGAGTTTAGACAGCAAATTATTATAATACACAACATAGTACACTCAATATAAATGTAATGCAGAATTAAGGGCTCTTACTAATTTTTTTATTTATATAAATTTTTAAGGTTGGAGCTACAAGGATGTCCTGAAATATTTTATGAAATCTGAAAATGCTGTGCTTTCACAGCCTGATCCAGGATATCATGGTCATAATGGATTATTATCGATAAATAATGTACCTTTTAGAACTCCAATTGCTAAAGCATTTGTGGATTCTGGAAACGAAATCGGATTACCAATTATTGACTACAATGGCAAACATCAAATCGGAATTAATTATTTACAGGTAATTTTTTAATAAATTTTACATTTTTCTAGATACTAGATTGATATAGTTTTATATTTTAGTTACCACAATACACCTGTTTAGTTGAATGCATGCAATTTGTAACTAGTAAAATTTAAATTATTGATGAGCATTTTTTTTTTTAGTAAGCTAGTAAAATCTAATTTTGTCCGAATTCTTATTTCCTATATAGATTTAATATGAGGTTTTTAGGTTAGTTTTTTTAGGCTTGTTATTGGCTGAATGCCTTTATTATATACCTGATGTTAGGAAATTTGATCAAGCTTTTATTGATGGTTTTTGTACAGCTGGTGCAATAAAATACGATGTTTACCTTAGAACTCACTAAATTTAACACATTTTTTTGAAACTTTTTGCAATTTTTTTTTATCTGTAATAAATATAATTGTTACACATTAAAAATATCATCAATATAGTTTATTTACACTTATAAGTTAATGTTTTTCTGAAAATCACTGTATGGCTTTTAGTTGGGTACCTATTATATTCGTATAAACCCAGAGAACAACTTACTAACCCCAGTGCTTCCCGTTTTTTCTGGCGACCTTACTTTTTTAAAATTATAATTCGTAGGCATCCCCGTGGAAATTCAGTAAAATAATGTGTTAAATAATTTTTATTTTATCTATTGACTAATACCAAATGGTATGTAAAACTGATTTCAGGCTACCATGAAAAATGGTCGTCGCTGTAGCACAAATACGGCTTTTATTATTCCAGCAAGTAGTAGGCCAAATTTAGAAATTAAAAAATCTAGCATGGCTACAAAAATATTAATAGACAAAAAAACTAAAAAAGCTATTGGAGTTGATTTTTTGATCGGCCTTACAAAGTACAGAGTTTACGTTAAGAAAGAAGTAATTGTTTCAGGCGGAGCAGTAAATTCTCCTCAATTACTTATGCTCTCAGGAATAGGCCCGCAAAAACACTTGAAAGATAAACGTATCCCTCTTGTAAAAGATTTACCCGTCGGCGAAAACTTAATGGACCATGTAGCTCTTGGTAGTTTAACAGTTTTGATTAATGATACAGTATCTTTAAAGTCTGGCAAACTAATGAGAAATCCGCAGAATCTTTTGAACTACATGACAAATCACAATGGACCGTATACAGTACCAGGCGGTACAGAAGCTCTAGCGTTTTATGATACTAACAATCCAAACGACCCCGATGGTTATCCTAATTTAGAATTATTATTAGTATCTGGCTTATATTCTTCTGATGACATGGTGCACACACTATTTGGACTAAGAAGAGATGTTTACGACAAAGTTTACAAACCAACGGAAAACATGGACGGGTTTGTAGTACTGCCAATGATTATGTTGCCTAAAAGTAAAGGGCGTATATCGTTAAATGATGCAAATCCACTACATCATCCATTGATTGACCCTAATTATTTTTCGAACGAGGCTGACTTGGACGTGGCTGTTGCTGGAGTCAGACTATTTCAAAAAATGTTAAGAACTGATGCGATGAAGAAGTTAAACGCTACAATATTGAATACTCCATTGCCTGGTTGTACTCAATACCAGTTTGATTCAAATGACTATTGGAAATGCTCTGTCAGACAAATTAGCTTTACAGTTTATCATTTATCTGGAACTTGTAAAATGGGCCCCGTTGGAGATCATACAGCTGTTGTGGATCCAAGACTACGGGTACACGGAGTAAAAGGCTTAAGGGTCATAGATGCCTCAATAATACCCGAGATACCAGCTGCTCATACAAATGCTCCGGCAATAATGATAGGAGAAAAAGGATCAGATATGATCAAGGAAGACTGGGGTATGTTGTAATTTGTTGTAACTTTTACATACAACAAATCTATCTTTGTACGTTCTTAAGTGTACATATTTTTTTCAATAATTATTTTAAAATAAAATTTAGTAAAATTATACCTATAAGGTATTTTTTTTTATTGAAAAATGTGTACTTATAAGCATAGTACAGAAATTAATTATTTATATTAAATATAAGGTAATTTATTAGCTCGATCATTAGCTGAGAAATTATTGTTTTCACAGTGTTTTCATTTTTTAAATAATATAAAAGGAAAGTCAGAATATGGAAATTTTAAAAAGAAAGAGTTAAGTATTATGTAATTGTTATAGTGAAATAAGCCAGAATATTATCTAATTTTATTTTTTGGAGTGGGGCTTTTGGTTTTTTTAATCATTTGTTTTAGAAGTAAAAGGAAGTGAATTTAGATACTTTCAATCCATAGACAAATAATATTTGTCACATGTATTTTCATTTATTCATCAAATAGTAATTATTTGATGAAGAGAATTGTCTATGTTTCTGTCCATAAGCCTGTCATGGAGTAAAAAGTACATATATTCCAATACTAGGTTAAAGAGTAAGTAGAAATCAGATTTAATACTCTAAACTGTATAAGAAGATAGGGTTTTTAAGCAAATTCATAATGTAATTATTCATTTTCATGCCAAATAATGATTGATACAATGTTTAAATCAGATGGGGTACATGGGTGGTTCGAGGTTGAGATAGGTGGGTGGTAACTAAGGGTAATTAACGGACAGGAGTTTTAAAAGGACAGTAAGCAGTAAAAATAAAAATAGAAAGTAGTAGAGGTGCTTCGATCTCCTGCTACTCCCTTTCAGTTTAAGCACTAGAATGCTAATAGATCCTAAGAATATGCTATTTTCGCAAAGAAAATATCTACTTTTTAAGTACTATAGTATTTTGCAAAACATACTCCTCAATTATAACTTTTAACAATACAAAATTATAATATATAAATAATTTATTGACTTAGCATACATTTTCGAGTAAAAAGACATAAAAATAATAATAATAAGTATTATTTTGATGTGATTAAGATAATTACGGACGTGGCAGAATTTGAGGTTTCAAGCCTAATCGGTTAATCACACTTTTTGGCATACAATATGTAGGATCTATGGGTAAAATCTTATCATAGGACATGAGAGATAACGCGGCAAGACCGAAAAGCGTATGAAATGGATCCGGCTCATCTCCAGGTCGGTCACTAAATCCTCCTCCATCATTGTCCTATATGAAATTTGTGATCAAACATATTAAAAAAATGATCAATGTCAGTAAATTTCTTTTTATTGTTAATTTTACCTGAGAAGCAAGTATGAACGTTTTTAACTCTTCTTTGTCTATCCAATGGTCTCGTCCTAAAATGTTCAATGATGAAAACACCCACCATGAGTAACAAACATCTGGTAATTTCTCGGGACGACCATTAAGACCACCGGATGGAAGTTGTCTTTCAGCTAACCACCAACCTAATACATCAGCATCAACCAAGTCTAATTTACCTGTGAAATGGAACAAAAATATAGAAAACAAAATGTAAAAAATGTAAAAACAAAAACCAATAATTTTTTATATTTTTTAGCTTTCTGCATGTAACACAATTGTAGCTTAATAATAATAACAAAAAAAAAAAAAAAAACTAGAAACTGTAACAAAGATTTTTAGGTACCGACCAGCAATAGATAGTGCTCCAATACAACAGTAAATTAAACCCCCATGGCTTTCTGCACCAGGTCTTGAACCAAAACCTCCATCAAAATTCTGACAACTGTTGATAAATTCAACAGCTTTATCTAAATTAATTTCATTGAGCTTTCCCTAAAACATATACAATTTTGTAACAATTAAAATATGTTTAGAATACTATTAAATAATAAGTTTTTTAATTACCAATAAAGATAGACAAGCCAATGCACAAAACGAATAACGAGTGTCAATTTCTCCCCATTTATCTCCAGTAAAACTACCATCAACTTGTTGTAGTTGGGTAACATACGATACAATTTTGTCAACTGGTAAATCAGTTTCACGGTTAAGTATACAAGCAATCTATATAAAAAAAAGTTCTAGATTTTATTATATTTTATCCTTAAATAAATTATTTTTATCCGTAAATAGTTATTACTTGAACAGCACTAAGAGTATACAACAAATGTGGATCATGACCTGGAGCTGGAGAATAACCACCACAACTATGTTCACAACTTTTTATATATACAAATATTTCATCTTGTTTTGGTATAACGCCATCATTTATTAAATATAATGCTGTTAGTCCCCAGTACATACCAGACATACGGAGGAATTCCATCATACTGCTTTCCTAAACACAAATGAACATATTTTAAAGGCAATACATTTTATTAAAATGATATAAAACTGTATAGACAATTATTACTTACATATTGATGATTATCTTTACCAAAGGACTGCAAAAATTGTATGTGTTTTTCTAACATCCATTTCTTAGGAGTATTATCTAAATTGACATCCTTTTGTAACTAAAAAAGAAATTGAAATCAACCGTCTTCTAAATAATGTACTTTATTAATATATTAGGTAAACCATTTTTTATAATAAAGGTATAATACTTTTTTGTATTGTAATTGTGTATAAACAAAAAAATGGGCGATCTCTCTCTAGGAGTATTATAAAATTACTATTATGTAACTACCGGTTTTGCCTCTTAGGCATCATAAGGTTTCTTCAAATATATATATATATAATATTCAAATGAATCAGAACCATGAATGACATTCTTTCTAATTTTTATAATATCTATATTCAAGTTGATTTTTATATTTCATTCAAAAAACACAGTTGATATCTTCATTTGTTACATCAACACTTAATATTTGGTCAGTAGCTTTGACAAAATTAGATAACGATTCATTAACGGTAGATGAAATACCGCTTATTACACTATTATTAGGCAAATATTGTTGTTCTTCTGATTGAAATTGATTTTAAAATATAAAGATCTTTTTCATTTTTTTTATAATCATCCTCAATTAGTAATACTTTTTTCTCAAGAACTGACAATTTTGGTAACATTTTTTACGGCTAGTTCCAAAATCATTATTTTTAGCACACAGAAAGATGTCACAATTTTATTATTTATCCATAAATTATACAACTAAAACACGATTTTGCTTAAATAAACTTGGTAGTTTCTAAATAATACAAATAAGGCAAGACTGGCTATTTAGTACTCCGGAAATCAATTGACTTCAGTTCCCTTGGACTTATATTATATTATCCTACTTATAACTATGCATTTACAATAGTTATGACAAAGTAAAACTATTACTACCAGTTTGATAAACTAAATCATAAACATACACCAAAACACATATATTAGCTAATTAATAATAAACACATAAATATTTCTATATAGAATAAAATAAGTATACAAAATATTACCATTATAAATTTTGTGTTCGATTCCGTGTTCAATTATTTTATTCGTATTAAAAGAATAAATTATAAAACTAAACGTTTTTTTTCTGTTTAAATTTCAAGCTAGATTTTTTTTAAGCAATTTTTAAAACTAAAAAATTAATAATTATTGTTTTTGTTATTCATTAATCAACATTTTTGCTTTTGTGAAAGATAAGAAACTCTTATCTGGTAACCTATATTATCAGTAATAAAACCCACAGAATAACCAGAAGGGAAACTTAGGCCAGGGCTGATAAGGGTCCGACATTTTGTTTTTGCGGATTATGCACAATATTATTATCATGTTTTTTCCTGGAATATCTATAGTCTAATTATTATAACACTTTAGAAATCGAGTTCCACAATAACCTGGAAAAAAGATCGATGAGCTCAACTTTGTATACACAATTAAAATCCGATCATTCTAAGTAGGCATAATTTTATCTAACTTTTAGGTCTAAATTGGTATCTTCTAGGAACAAAATAACTTCAATAAATAAAAACTAAATAATGGTCCTTGTCATTATGTACTAAAATATGTCTCTACCTCTAACATTAAAACTACGGATCTATCAATTCAATTATTTGTACACAATTTGTAGGAGGTTATTATAGATACTTATATATAATGCTACAATTTTTATAAAAAAGAATTTCCAAAAATATGCTCTCGTGAACATGTGCAGTAAACTCGTACCATCAATGTCTTGAGATTTGAGAAAAAAGTATATAATATGTAAGTATTTGTACCTATATGTTTCAACTAAACAGATGTTTTTGAGCAATTAATTAAGTTTTAACAGTATTTGATTTGTTTGCAAATGAATTATATTATTAAATGCGTAGTTGGTTTATCAATAATATAATGATACTATATTGTTATGTTGTTCAAATAAACTATTGAATACTCGCCAAAATGTTTTAAAATATGTCCTTATTTAAATAAAAATACTGTACTATATATCATGATACGATAAGGCTATTGGTTTAAATGTGTGTAGAAACATTCATACCTATTGACCTAGTAATATAGAATATATTTATAGAACTCGAAACATGACTTTCAAAATCAAGGATAATACCCCGGCGCCAAATTTGTGTTATTGTTTGCAACATCATTCATTAGGTTTTTATATAAAGAAACTTTATTTGATCTTAATAACATAATTTTTTAATAAATTTTCAAAATATTTTTAAGTTAGGATCTAGGCCATATTCGCGGGGACTGATTGGATTAAGTATACACTGTTGCCAAGTTATTAAAGTCATTAATGGGGCGGCAATATTCGAAGTACAAATAAGCCATAGATTTTTCCCTGCCGGGAGTAGCGGGCGTTGTAAAAAGTCAACAATTTACAAACCTACTCGAGATACTAAAAAGTTACTATGAATACTGAATATATTAGCTTCTTGTTTTTACAATGATGTGTTTTTATTTTTATTTTTTTATTTGTTATTTTTGTGTCCGGACCCACGATATCTCGTAAACCGCTGAACCGATTACTTCGTGTATCAACTCTATAGATCAGAAATCATACATGTAAGATATAATATTAGGCCAAAAATTAAAAAAAGTCACCCCTTCCTCATCAAAATCGAGAAAAACACCTAAAAAATTGACGAATTTTTCAACTTAAAATTACGATGCTCTATAACATTTTTAAAAATAGTCGAAAATGTTCCAAATTTATAAGAATTTTTCTTCGAACATAGTACTATCGATAAACATTAACAAACCAATATCATGAACCCTTTCCCTTTAGAAGGGATAGAATTTTTTTCTTTATTTCACTTTTTAAGCAAAGTTTCAAAGATTTAGATCTGAAAATTAGACCGAAGGTAGATCTAAAATGGATTTATAACAAAGACAATTTTCGCAAAAATTTGTAGTCAAATATTTTGTTATTAAGGAAAAACACCTTAAATAGGGTAAATTTACACTTAGGCCGTAGTCAGTTTCTAGGTTGCTGTGTGTGAGTGAATCAACAGTCAACAGTTAATGAAAATATTTTCATATATTGTTAATAATTACGATACATGTGTAACTAAGACAGTACATTTTTATAGACAGACGATCAACCCTTATCGTATCCACCCTGCACAAGACTAAATATTAAATTTAAAGTATTGCTGGTCCCACGATATCTTCTAAACCGCTATAACTGGTTTGAACATACTATTCACAGATTTTTAGTATTGATTTTTGGTATTATTCATACAAAATATGTAAAATATAGCTCCTATTTTCGGGTAAAGTGTAGTCTGTAAACTGTATTGTATTCAATTAATAATACTTAAAACTAAAACGTGTAATTACATTAAGTATTTAAATTTAATTGTATGGCACATGTATATAATTGTATGTTATAAATCATTTATTTTCTAAGGTTTCTAAATATAAGTTTAGACACCTTATAACTCCGTTTGCATGTCTGTCTGTACATTGCCTTAGTTACCAATACCAAAATAACAATTTAATTTTTTTTTGCTTATTCGCTACTAGGGAGGTTATTGAATTTGAATAACAATTTATTTTGTAAAATATGTTTAATGGAAAATTAGCAAGCTAGCAAGGTGGGCTTTCCTATTTTTTTTTTTTTTTTTTGTTAATAACTTTTTTTTTTTATAAAAAATCGATAATAATATTATTTTGTAAGGTTATTAAAACAGATTATCAGCCAATTAAAATGAACTCCGTTTTTTATTATACCAAAACCCTACTTAATTATGTTGATAATGAACGCTTACAAATGTTTCCTTTTCCAAATAAAATTGGATCTTTTGTTAACTAATTCGGACTTGCTATTCCTCTTCTGGACCTCTTTAAATCAATTTCATAAACCCGTTCTATTGATGATTTGTTGATGTGCATTAAGCACTGTATATAAACGTGGTAATTAAAGTTATCGTCTCCGCGTAGGTTTGTTCTTATTTGGAATAGAGTATAATATGTATTTTTAGCTAGGACAGATCCTGCAAATTGTTCTAGTTATCACTCATTATTCAATATTCATAGTGGTTTTTTTTTATAATGGTATTGCATTAACAAATTTAAGACCTATACCTATTTACATATTTTTTACAAAGTGTAGTGGAGTTTTTGAACAAGGTACTGTAATGTTTATGTGCTAATGAAATAATGTATTTTTATTTTTAACTTTTTTTGTAAATTTTGTAAACTAAAAATATAAACAGTTAAAGCCAGTACAGTGGGGTCAGGGCATAATGGGGACGGAGAGGTCACAAGTCTACAGATTTTATTATAACTGAAAGTGATAAAATCACTTTTAAATAAACGCTTCGATGCGAATCTGTGGATAGTATGTTCAAACCAGTCATAGCGGTTTAGAAGAAATCGTGGGACCAGCAATAATGTACTTATCATTTAATATTTAGTCTTGTGCAGAGTGGATACGATAGGGGTTGATCGTCTGTCTATAAAAATGTATTGTCATAGTTACCCCGTATATCGTAATTATTATAGTATTGTAATTATTAATATAATGAAAATTTTTTCATTACCTGTTGACTGTTGATTCACTCACACACAGCAACCTAGAAACTGACTACGGCCAAAGTGTAAATTTACCCTATTTTTGGTGTTTTTCTTTAATAAAAAAAAAATTTGACTACAGATTTTTAAAATATTTGTATATGTTATAGATTCCTTTTAGATCTACCTTCGGTCTAATTTTCAGATCTAACTCTTTGAAACTTTGCTTGAAAAAGTGAAATAAAGAAAAAAATTCTATCCCTTCTAGGGGAAAGGGTTTATGATATTTTTTTGGTTTGTTAATTTTTATCGGTGAACTATGTTTGAAGAAAAATTCTTATCGATTTGGAACTTTTTCGACTATTTTTTAAAAAGTTTTAGATCATCGTAATTTTAAGCTGAAAAATTTGTAAATTTTTTGGGTGTTTTTCTCGATTTTGATGGGGAAGGGGTGATTTTTTTAAATTTTTGACCTGCTAAAGTCCCTTACAGTTATGATTTCTGATCTATATAGTTGCTACACGAAGAAATCGGTTCAGCGGTTTACGAGATGTCGTGGGTTCAGACACAAAAATAAAAATTGTTTAAAAAAAACACATCATTGTAAAAACAATAACTTCTCAGCTCCCCATCGAAGTTTAATAAAGAGTTGTTTAAAAATAATTTTAAATGAATATTCCCATCTAATATCTATGATTGCAATGTTATTTGATACAAAATGTGTATAATGTATACTCAGTTATTCTATTTTATATATGTAAGCACTAAGCAGCATGCATGGTAATTGGTACACGGTATTGTGCTAATAGTTAAAAATAACATTTTGCTATTTACTAAATCTTCGTAAAGTAATTTATTTAAATAAATAATAATTATACTGAATTGTTTTTTTTATAAAATAGTTGTATTACCTTATGTATTTACCTAAGAATTATATTTTCATTTCTTTTAACAACCACGTGTCATAAACATAATTTTTTACGAAATCATGATTTATCAAGTTCATCAAGTCCGACGAAGCCTCCTATTTAAAATTAATATTATATATTACTATTAGTTTATTTTAAACAAATGTATAATATAATATTATAGTTAAAATGTTCATAGAAATAATTAAGAATTAATTATTCGTTTTTATGATGAAAAATTACAAAACGTGTTTAATATATTCCTTTATGTTTGGCCGTATTAAAAAAATATATATTATATATATATATATATTTATGCTACAAGTTAATATGTAATACACAAACACACACACACACACACACATATTATATATATATATATATACAATTTATGTATAACATATTAGCTTTTAGCGTCAATATTGATCTAAGAACGGACCATTTTAAACAAACGTATCTATTCTTTAGTAAAAATCTAAATTTGTCAGGTTACTGTTGTGAACTGTTGGCCCTCGTCCAAAATATTTCGATTCGTCCTCATTCGCTATTAACACCACTCAATCGTCGACCGCTGCTCAAAAACGCAATATTCCGCGAATTATAATTGTGTACATTTCAAAATTTACTACGGTATATACTGTTAATTTTTCATGATAACTGCGTTTTTATGTTATGTTAATTAATGCTTTTGTTTTGTCTTTATTTACATGTTATTAGTTAGTGTAATGTGAAAACAGCATTCTGA